TGTATTATATTGAGAGATGGGGAACATTTTTGAATTTGCTTGTGTGTGCTAGTATTTACAAGTATTGCCTTATTCTTATTCAATCCATGGCAGCATTTGTCACAATGGCTTAACAGCCCTAGACACAGCAATGAAAAATGTCCTTCTGTCATTTTTCCTTTCTCTCCACATTAAATATTTTTTAATCTCTAGGTTTTTTTCCCTCCATCCAGTGTACAGGACGAAAAAAATCTTATTTAGCAAAATATGAATGAAATTGTCATCACCCTTCTGCATTGCTACAGGTATTCCCAGCATGGAATTGTGCTTATTGGTTGTTAAAGATGAGGAGCCTCTTAGTGGGAAAACATGGCAATAGCTAAATCAGCACAATATACTGTACAGAGCTGAATATTTGAAACCCAGTTTTTCAAAGCTAAGCATTTACAGTAAAGTCCTCTTCTCAGTTTGATTAATATTTCACTTTCTCTTACACCAAATTCTGTTTTCTCTCCAAATTGTAGCCAAATATTCAAAACACTTATCTACATACTCACATTGGTCTTCAGATAGTGTCTTTCAACTCATCATTCTTTCTATGGCAGGATGAAATTGCTTTTTAAAGGATAGCATTGCTATCACCAGATCTTGTTGGGCTAAATCATAATAGGATAGTTTCTGGAATCATCGAAGTTATTTCTGTCAGCAAGATTCCATCTATGAATCTTCTACCATTCTCCGGTTATTCTATGTAAAGCCCAGGCTTGAGTAGGTATCTCCAAAAAATTGTCATAGATCTTTGGTTTTGACTTTAAATTAGGCTACTAAAATGAAGAAAGCTGAAAGGTAAGACACTAAAGAAACCAGGAGTGAATATTTGTGTGAAAAGTCAGCAAGCATAATGAGTTTTGAATCTGAAACCAGATACATGGCTCAGTTTTGGTCTCAGCCATATGCTTAGTTTTAATAGCTGCCTCTGTCCCAAGTAACTATTTTGCATTAGACTTCGGCTGGAGAAATTTTTTTTTGTTCTAATAACAGAGTGTTCTTAAACTTGTACAAAATTTTAGATTTTCAATTTTATAGCCATAATATAGGAAAGGGGTATATGGTAAGAATACATATTTTAATTTATTTCAAAATCCGGTAACCATTTGTGCTCGATCTGGGGGTCCTCCCAAGTTCTTTGCGGAACCTTCTGTTAATTCTGTTGCATAGTCTGTGGTTCTCTGTTCTGAAGTTCCCCCCTATAGTCACCACTGACTTTAGCCAATCTGTTTAATTGAGTTCAAACAGGGGATTAGCGATGATGGTAAGGAATAAAGATAAGGTAGAGACCTCCAGTTTTCTAAACACAACCTGGCATGGAATTTAGATAAAAATCTGGCTTAAGGATGTCTGATCCTTTCCATGTTCCAAATCAATTCACCCTTCTCTAATTGGCATGCAATAGGTTACAGGCATGCACAGAAGTCTTTCTATATTAATTACTTTCCAAGTTTGATAACCAGATGGTACAGTTTGTAGAGGAAAGTCCTTTGCTGTAAAGAAATGCTTAAGTGAAAAAATCTGTATCAAAATATATGATTATAAGATAAAGTAGTTACCATCTTATCCTGTGTTCCACCAATCACTTTCCTTTCAAATACAGACTCTCATGCAAATTAGAGCTACCAGATCTAGGCCAAAAAAATCGAGACAATTACTTAATGGCAGTAAAGTATCAGAGGGTTTTGGGGGTTTTTTTTGTATCTTTTTGCTACCATCTAACATCTGGATGTTTACAGCCCAGATCTGGTGGCCTGAATGTAAATGAGAATTACCAACTCTGTGTTAACTACAGGTAGTCCTTGGCTTACAAACACATTTGAACCCAGAATTTATGTTGCTAAGTGAGAAATTTCTTAAGTGAGTTTTGCCCTATTTTATGAATTTTCTTGCCATATTTGTTAAGTGAATCACTGCAGTTATTAAATTAATAACAAGGTTGTTAAGTGAATCTGGCTTTCCCATTTACTTTGCTTGTCAGAAGGTCACAAAAGGTGATCAAATGACCCTAGGATGCTGCAACCAGTAAATAGTCACATATGCCAGTTCTCTCCTCCAAAACAAAAGAACTACTACATGTATGCCCTGTTCAGTATCAAATCCTGCAGTCCTTGTGGATTACTTTACTGCACCAAAAACTGTTATAAATGATCCTGTTTATATGATCCTTACCTGTTCAAAATTGCCCACCCTTCAACTGAAAGGATTTCATTCCAGATTAGGATAAAATCCCCACACAAGACTAAAAGACCAAAAAAAAAAACAAAAAGCAAACAAAAAACCCCATTCTGGTGCATGAGAACCTGGGTGAGTACAATAAAAAAAAACCTGAAATATTTGGAGAATTAGATTAATTCAAAAACTTTTAAATCTTTCAAACGTATCCCATCTAAATCTATAGTTACCATCTGGAGTTATTCTTATCTAAATCTAAATCTTTTCATTTTTATTCAAATAAGTATACTTTATTTAATGCTTTGGGAGCTGATTTGTTTCCTGATATATTTATAGTGCTGTTTTATTGCTATCATTTCCTGTCAACATTGTTTGTATATACCATATTATCGCTCACACACTCATAAATATTGTAGGTTTACTTGGATGTACATACAGTATTCATATGAAGATAGACACTGAAATAAAGTTGATTTTTGAAATTGCAAACTGAGCCACTTAGAAATTGGAAAATTTGGGGGAAAATAAAGCATGTGTAAAATAATAAAAATCAGTACACGTTTATTCTGATTTCTTGTTCTTACCATTTGGGATCAGCAAGATTACTAAGGGATTCATTTTTATTGCTTTTTTGTTATTATTTAACATCTGCACATTAATAACAACTCCATTTATTAAAGGATTTGTGTTGGGATTGCTATAATAAAATATACGGATTTATACTAGTCACTAAAAGAATTCTCTGCAAAAGTAGAATTCCACCCCCACCCCCAAGTGATTATGAGGACTAGAACATATTGTTTCTGCTCCAAGCATCAGCAAAACCCACTCACTGCTGTGTATGGTGACAGATGTCTTGAGTTAATGCTGAATATTTAAATGTCATCTTTGGAGCCACTCCCTATCTACATAGCACCCCAGTTTATCATCTGTTCAATCTGTCTTCAATCTGTGTTTTTTGCTGAAAGCTTCTAGTTCACTGATGGTCAAGAAACTTACTTCACAGTGCAACTGCTTTTTAAGGCCAACATCTAGTCATAAAATGCCTCCAGTGAAGGAAAGGAACATCTTACAGTTCAAACATCTACCAATGTTCAGCTTAATTGACAGCTACTGCAGCTTTCTAGAAAACTTGAGGAAGCACCTGGAAACGACTAATTTCATGATTTAGAGATACGGTGACTGTATTTAAAGCAGTGATGGGTAACCTATAGTCTGCATATAATTCACAAAACTATTTTGCAGCCTCCTGAACTTTCTAGGACCATGAACCTCAAATTTGGCAGCAAATCGTTTTTAAAAAAAATTTGATTTATATGCCGCCCTTCTCCGGAGACTCAGGTCATCTTACAATGCGTTAAGCAATAGCCTTCATACTTTTGATTATTTATACAAAGTCAGCTTATTGCCCCCACAAACTGGGTCCTCATTTTACCTACCTTAGAAAGGATGGAAGGCTGAGTCAACCTTGAGCCTGGTGAGATTCGAACTTACAGTAATTCCAGACAGCTGGTGTTAATCACAATGCTTTTAGTCTGCTGAGCCACCAGGCTCAGTAATCAAGCCATACAATTTGACATCAATGTCTTATTGGAGGAGAAAGAAGGTATTGGATGAGAAAGAAGGTATGATAAGCCTTAAGAGAAGCCATTGAATCAAAGTAGCCAGAAATCTGATACCAACCTTTCCAAAACAAGCAACAATTAAATTCGCTGACCTATTTATGTATTAGTATAATGTCATTAAAAGCCACTGGTGTAGTGGTTAGGATATCAGGCTAGAAAACAGGAAACAGTTCTAGTCCCATCTTGGACACAACGTCAGCTTGGTAACTTTCAGCTAGTCACTTTATAGGTGTCAAACTGGATTTCTTCGAGGGTCGGATCAACATTGTAGTTCTCCGCGGGGGATGGGGTGGGCATTTTCCAGCCAGCAGTGTGCTGCAGGAGGCCATGGAGGGTGAAAACGAGGTGCGAGGGGCCTGCACGCGGCCTATTTTAGCCACCAGAGGCATTGCGGGCCGATCCTTTGATATTTCCAGGCTGGCCCCACGGGCCTCAATAGATCAAAATTTAAAAGGTTCTTCACCAAAGGGAACAATCTTCCCTTTGGTGAAGCCTAGTGGAACAGCCTTGTTACAACCAGCTTTCTAAAAGCTGGGAGAAAAAGCGACAGTCTGATATCCGGGTCAAACATTTCCAGAGAGTGGAATCTGCAACTGAAAAATTTCCAAGATCTCTGGAGATGGCAGACTCTGAGAGATCTGCCCCATGAATGAATGAATGAATGAACCCATCCTGATCAATCATATTGGGCAGGCAGATGTTATTGGGAGAAGGCAGTCTCACAAATAGCCAGGCCTGAACCATGAAAAGCTTTAAAACTGACAACCAGCATCTAGAATTGCATACAGAAGCCAATTCAAGTGTACATAAGTTGCATCTTTTTGAAGCTGCATTCTGGATGAAGTATATGTAAGCTGTAGCTATTGAACCTAGACTTCAGTAAGGCATTTGATAAAGTTGATCATAGCCTCATTTATGATAAAATGGAGCAAAGGGGAATGGATAGTCCCACTATCAGATGGGTTCACAGTTGATTAGACAGTCATATGTTCTGGGTTTCCCTTTTTTTTTTTTTTTGCACACTCCACAGCTTGTGATCAACACAAGCTTTCTAAAGATGTGGTTTCTTTTTTGTGTTCTTTGACTTTCTCCAAGAACTGGGAGTCCCCAAACCTACAGCTACTCAGTCTTACTTTACTTGAGTCAGTCTATTCATTCTTCATCTTCTTCCAGCTATCCTTGTCAAGTTGAAGTGCAGGTTGAAGTGCTGACCGTCCTCTTGATGTCTGTCCTGATGTTTCATCTCCCTCAGAAAAAACTGAGGAGCTCTTCAGAATCTACAGATACCATAGAGACAGCCTATACAATCTAGGACCATGGCCACCCCTTCATTCCAGGTACTACCAAGCCTCAACTGAGTTATGCACGAACCTTAGGAACAACCCCAGATTCCCTCTGAAACTAATACATTCAATCAGACACTTGAGACAGACTGATCAAATAGGTTCCGCCCTCCCTGAAGAGAGGAGTGGTTGCAAAGAACACTGGGGCTTACAAGGAGTTTTCTGCCCATGGCGGGAACTGATGGTGATATGCCCCCAATTAATAAGTGAATTTCCACACATTTATTTTTCTACATGTTTTATTTTCATATTTATTTCTTCTATCATATTCAGCAACTAATCTCCAACCACATTTTCATTCAAAACATTCCATAATTCAATCCATTCGGTTATATTTGAATTGTTTCCTTAAAAAAACAATATGATAGTCTGAATACTGTGATTTATTGGTTTACACCAGTGATGTGCTTTTGGGGGGGTACCAAGTGCTAAAAAGGGAGCACTCATCCGGGCCGCAACCAGGAAGAGGAGCTGCCCAGGGTGCATGTGCACACCGGATAAGGCACTTCTGATCTCCAGCACGCCAGCAAGTCTTCCGGTTACTGCCATGCATGCTCAAGCACCAATCAGCTGGCCGAGGCGTATACTCATGCCAGAAAATGGAAGATCAGCTCTTCCGGTTTCTGGCACTGCCGCACGCACAAAGGCCAGCTGATCATTGCATGCGCAAGTGTGCCAAAAACCCGGAAGAGGAACGGGTGACGCCGCACGTGCCAGGCGACACTTCTGGCACACATGCCAAAGGTTTGCCATCACGGGCTTATACCTTACATTTACAAATACCTGCATTTTATAAATATAGCTGTTGTTCATAGGTCATAGAAGCCTTGAATGGTAAAGCAAAAAAGGATTTCTCATAAACCAAATTAACTAATTTAAAACAAGGTTAAATTATTAAATTAAATAAATACTTCCTGTTTTCCTTATTGTGCTCTGGTGGGTGAACTGGAGCTTCCCCTTTCTATGCTTATGATTCAAGGATCCCTTAGTTTTCTTTTGTTATGCGGGAGATTTCATCCTTTACGTCCTTTCTGTTCTTTGTCCCTAACTGACATCAACAGCTTGGTTTTTACATATTTGCAAGAAAGGCAGCTTCAAATAATCAGATTGATTCTCCTTCCTAACTCCAGATAATGTCTGCTTCTTTTACCTTTCTAATCCAGTAAATAAAACAGTTTTGAAGATCTTTGAAAATTAGAAGCATTTTATAATCTGATGACAGTTTTGCACTCCACAGGTAACAGTTTGATTTTTTAAAATCTAATACCAGACACTAACAGTATAATAAAGCAAGCCTGAGAAACTCAAGAATCAAAATATCTTATTCTATTCCAAAATGATGGTATTCTACCAAAATAGTTGAAAACTGCCTTTGTCAGGGTATGCTATGTCAAGATTCTGTTTTCAGTTCTTTAGCAGTGGGGAAATATCTAAAACTAGATGTTGTCCTTTGGAAACTGACTACTTGGGTTTTATATACTTCCTTTCTTAACTTTAGGAAATTGCTTGTTAATGGATATTTGGATGTTAAGAACTTTCAAAAGGTCAAGTTTCATTACACCGGGTAGGTTTCCTTTTTTAAAGACTTAAAAAAACCATTTTCAATAAATAGTGAAAGGGTGACCAGAACATTCATTTTGGAAAGTTATGAATAGATTAAGGGCTTGTGGGTTGTTTAAAATCTTACCAAAATATATTTGAAGATTTTGAAACTAACTGTAAGAAACCTTCCCATGGGGGAAAGTGTTGTTGATTTAAAAAAAACATATGAGGAGATTTGAAGGTTGACTAGAGCAACGGTCCCCAAACTTTCCACCTTGGCGGCCCAGCTCGGCGCAGGGGTGGGGTGAGTGAGTGGCAGGCATATGCATGCACACACGGCTCCATTGGGGTGAGCAGCAGGGGCGTGCACTCTCCACTTGCGTGAATAGAGGTTTGCACGTGAGCTCAGGGCACTTGAGCCGATGGCGCTTGAGCTCATGCATGAAGCTCCACTCGTGTGAGGAGAGAGTGGAGGTTTGCACGTGAGTGCAAGGGCCCACCACTTGTGTGAGTGGAGTTTCACGCACAGGCACACGCGCATGCTTGCCCATCACTTGTGCAGCCCAGTTTTAAACAGGCCATGGTCTGGGAGTTCGGGACCCTGGGCTAAAGGGAACCAGGAGAACTAAAGATTATAATTAAAGGAAAAAAAGATCCATTAATACAGAATGGTAATATTATTCATTATTCAAGGATCTTTTGGAACAGTATATTTAGAAATTATGAGAATTTAGAAATCTTAAGAATGTCCAGTATTATAAAAATGGATTAAAAAGTTATGGAAGAAGAGCAGTTTTTACAGGATAAAACAGAGACTGAAACTGTTTTAAATGTGGATTAGAAAATAGATTTTAAAATGTCAAGCTACAATGTGGAAATTATACTGTATTTATAAATGAAACCAGCTGATGTCCTAATAAATGGGATATACAAATAACTCAGAAGAGTAATTTTGATAGCTTTCTTATGTTGACTTACTAAATAGATGTGTTAAACTTGTGAAGGAAACAAAGAGAAAAGGATAAAAAAAATCAGCTTGTGGGACATTGAAGAAAGATCAAGATTCTTAAAAGTAAACAGAAAGAATAAAAAGTGGGTATATTTGATTAAGATTAATATATATATGTTGTTTCTGATAACTTTCAATAGAATTTTCTTGATTGAGTCTGAATGAAGAGGCTTTAAAGATTTGTTTATAGATAAGAAATAAGGATGGGAAAAATATCTTTTGTTGAAATGTCAGAGAAGGTAATAAATGACTGAAATTGTATTTGTCTTGCTGAAGGGAGAAGTCATTTCTTTATATATCTTCTTTTCCTTTCCTTTATTCTTTTTCTTTTTCTCTGCACTTTTTATTTTTTACTTTTTATACTTTTATTAGTTTACATTCATTTTTTATCTTGTATTTTATAAAATATTATTAAAATATAGATATAGAATCCTTACATGGATTCTTTTTGTACAATACACTAAACTAGGCCAGGGGGTAGGTCCATAAGCATGTCATACAAACTCTGAATCTCAACTAACTAGTTCCAGCCTTAATTTGCTGTTGTTAATTGCGAAGTCGTGTCCGACCCATCGCGACCCCATGGACAACTTTCCTCCAGGCCTTCCTGTCCTCTACCATCCCCTAGAGATCATCTAAGCTCACACCGACTGCTTCAGTGACTCCATCCAACCACCTCATTCTCTGTCGTCCCCTTCTTCTTTTGCCACTGTCCATGGGGTTTTCATGGCAAAGATACTGGAGTGGGTTGCCATTTCCTTCTCCAGTAGATCACGTTTTGTCAGAGCTCTCTGCTATCTTGGGCCCTGCACAGCATAACTCATAGTTTCATTGTGCTGCCCAAGCCCCTTCGCCATGACAAGGCAGTGATCCATGAAAGGGAACTTTAATTAGAGATACTTAAATTCAGCTCCAAGCAGATCTGCTCCTTCTGGACTATCCCAAATTATCCCAAGTTTAAATGGTTTCCTGTCCTAGGATACACAAACATACAGACTGAAAAATATGTATGCAAGGATCTTTTAGAATTTAGTAAATATAGGCAGAAGCAAGCATGGCACATGTGCAAAGACATGTACAGAGCAACAAAGTCACAATACTTAGAGATCTGCAAGTCAGTGGTGGGTTGCCCCCAGTTTGGACCGGTTTGCAAATAAAGACGGCGGGAGGCTCCGCCCACTGACCTGGACATCATCAGGAAGTTTCTGTGCATGCATGGTCCCGTTGCAAACCGGTAGTAAAGGTAACTAGAACCCACCCCTGCTGCAAGTCCTTCGCAGCAACTAGTTTCAGTCCGGTCCAGAAGCATAGTCAGGTTACAGTCTAGAAGTCCAAGAATCCAGATACAGGTTATCAGGGAGCAGGGTTTCTATAGGCAACAGGTTCAGAAGCAGAGTTCTGGCAAGCAGAGTAGTTGATCCAATGGAGAACTACTGGGTAATAATAGTTTTTAAAGGAAGCCTGCACTAGATGCAGACAATCAAGGGTGAGAACATCACTGCTATGCATGAAGCCTGCCAGAGCTCCACTGTTCAGCTTTGCACTCAATTCTATGTGATGCTGGGAACAATCTTGAGGCACCCTAAAATATTCTCCAATAACCTGAGACTAAAAAGTCTCCTACAGCATAAGCCATCTCCCACTCCCTCTCTCCCCTCTCCCTCTCTCACACACAACTCCATTAACATCCTGGCCCCAATGCCTCACATCCATATTTCTTAAATTCTTCCAAACTTCTCAAAGTATTTAATTTTTCTTATGTACATTCTTTGTTTATTGCATTCTCCCATCACAAAATAATAGTGTTTGTCTACTTCATATCTCTCCAGGAGTAAAAGGCAGCATTACATTGCAGCTTTGTTCAAGGTGGTGCCTGACAGATGTGCTAGACTATTGTCCAAATTCTCAGTCAGTACAGTAGCTGAGAATTATGGATGCTGTAGTACAAATGTGAAAGGCACCAAGTTAGGGGATTTGTAGACAAATTATTGCCTACTTTTAAAAAATTAAAGGTACAGATATTAAAGAGTGCCAGTGGGTCTAGCTTTCCATCCCCATCCACTCAACTGTAATCCTGAGTAAAGTTTATCCATCTAATAGATCACGTTAAAAGAATACAATCCATTCACTTCCACTTTCCCTACACCTAAATTTACACATTAATAACTCGTTCCCATTATTGATACTTGTTAAAGTAGAATTAATGCTATTGTTCCTCAACAAACACTGCTTAAATACTATGTTTAGTGGGCTTGTAATCAGCTTTACCCACTTTTCTTCTAATCTGATTGAAACAGATTTCCTACCCAAATCTTTGTTATTATTTTGTTGATATTAAGGGGTCACATATTTACAATCCCTGTCTTCAGCTTTAATTTAAGTTGCTGAGGCTGAGTTACCATTATGGATGAACAGATAATTTCAGTTAACTCACTTTTTAATTAAAATGGTGTCAGAGAAATGGTCCACGCCCCATTTGATGGAATGCAAAGTTTGGTACTGGTGTTACTGTACACTACTGGTTATATTTTAGCCAGCTTCCTATTATGTAGCTATTCATGATAATGCTTTTTGACCCTCTGCATTTACTCCATCATAATTATCCTTTAATACTCTTATAAATGAACTTTTAGCTTATCTTTTATTAATTCGCAGAACAAGCAAAGCACTACAACATAATAAACAAACCTATTTAAATAAACGGTTTAACCCTTTGGAGAAATTATTCTTCCTGCCCCAAAATCTTTTTAAAAAGGCAATAGCAGAAATTAAAAGTTAAAATTTAAGAAAGGAATCTAAGAGTGAAAACAAATCTTACATTTTCAAATGATGCACTGGGTTTGATAAACTTTGAGACTCAGAGAAAACTAGTGCTTCTCACCCCAAAATAATAATCTCCCCTTGATCTCTGTTCAATTTCTCCATTTTAATCAGTTATTCTTTTTATGAATAATAGATCATTGCTCAGATAACCTTCCTAAATATTTTTAAAGTGCCTATCAAGAGAAAAAAAGAAATCTGGTTATGGCTGAATGAATTCTATTTACTGATACATAATTTTCCCATGTTAGTACAGGTAGTCCTCCACTTACAACAGTTCATTTAGTGACCATTCAAAGTTACAATGGCACTGAAAAAAGTGACTTATGACCATTTTTCACAGTTACAACTGTTGCAGCATCCCCATGGTCATGTGATCAAAATTCAGATTCTTGGCAACTGACTCATAATTATGATGGTTGCAGTGTCCCAAGGTCATGTGATCAACTTTTGTGACCTTCTGACAAGCAAAGTCAATGGAGAAGCCAGATTCACTTAACAACTCTGTTACTAACTTAACAACTGCAGTGATTCACTTAACAACTGTGGCAAGGAAGGTCGTAAAATGCAGCAAAATTCACTTAACAACTGTCTCACTTAGCAACAGGAATTTTGGGTTCAATTGTAAGTTGAGGACTACCTGTATAAGAAAACTACATACAGTTGTCCACAGAATCACAAGTTTAGATTGACTCAAAAGCGGTTTTATCTCTTCCTTTTCAATTCAACACGTCGTGGGAACCCAGTCATTTTCTAATTTCATTAATTTGTGTGGAGATCATATTTTATGTAACCATATGATTTCTAAACCTGAGTTTAATGAGTTGTATGAATCCAACCAAACATTAGGAAACATTTGCCTGGAAAGCTATCTAGGACTAAGATCGTATATTAAAATTAATAGCCAGATAAAGGATTGAGGCAGTCCACTTACCTTCTTTTTATTAAATATGTAAAGGCTTCTGTACATACAGGTGGTCCTCAACTTATAACTGTAATTGATCTTGGAATTATGTTGTCATTGTGGTTGTCAGTCATGGCATCGCATGACTAGATCCAAATTCCTGACATTTTTTGTGGTAGTTGTTAAATGAAAACCAAATGCTGCAATTGTTAAGCAAATCCATTTTCCAATGGGTATTTTTTGCTGGAAAGTATATGTAAACTTCAGAAACTGGCAAAAAGCATCACAAATTGCGGTCCAGTGAGTATGGAACACTGCAGCTATAAAGATAAGCTTGTTGCCAAACACCCAAATGTGATCAGGTGTCTAAAGGAGGTATGGCCTTTGTAACTTCAAAAGTGAGGCGTAAGTAGCTCTGGGGAGACATAACTTTGAATAGTTGCTAAGTGACTGGACATAAGTCGAGGACTACCTGTAATACACAGTCATATTTAATTGTTTATAAAAATAGTGGCTCAACAGAATCATCATTTCAGATACACATACAAATGGAGACTGAAAGATCATGGGGCATATTACTCCATTCTGCTTAGAGCAGACTTCTCCAACCTGATGTTGTTCATATATTTTAAGATTACAGACCAAAATTCTCAATGCACATGCTGGCTTGAGTTCTGAAATCTGTATTCTAACAAATCTGGAGCAAAGTCAGAGTCAGATTACCTTACTGAATTCCTCTGAGTCCCATCTCTGTCTTAATTACCAAAAACAGAATTTCAAATTGAGTGTGATACTCTGGACCCAGTAAAATAAGGTAGCAGCCATGTGTCCCTTTTGCACACCCACACTTTTTCCTTTATCAACCTTTCCTTGGAAGCAACAGTTTATTGCTGGAATTCAGTCAGCTTTCATGAAATATTTTGTTACTTTAACTGAAAAGGAGTAGTATTTGTCATTTTAAAAAATCTGAATTCTCTTTGAGAAGAGTAATATCTTCAAGTGCGCTGGTATTAATCTGGAAAGATTACATTATATCTAATAATGCCCTGACAATTTTAAAGAAGATTAGACCAAGAGCATTGGTTGGGCTGGTGAACTCCACCTGATTTTCTGTAGCCATAGAAATAATCTTCATAAAATAATGCAGTAATAAATAATGACCAAAGATTAGCAGTTAGGTCCAGAGCTTCAGATGAAGTTGAGGAAATTGTGACATTTTATGTATTAAACAGATGGAGGCAAATTAAACAGTGCTCCTTTCTTTTCTAGAATGTCTCTAAGCTAGTTGTAATGCTATATGCTTTCATTAAATCCAGTTAAATTATTCTTCCTGATTTCCTGAATTTAGGTGGTGATTCTGAAAGTGCTGTATGACCTCATCATGTGTGCAGAATTATCAGATACAGAAGAATTCTTCAGATTTACAGTAAAGGTGTAAACTGTGATTTCTTATCTATGACCATTGTTATTTACCTTTAAAGTTGTTATATATTTAATATATGAACATAGTTTGTAACCATGTTTTCTTAATCAGTTTTGAAGAACCCAATCCTCTTATTTGATTTAAAATTATTGTTGCTTTTACCCTGAATACTCTTCTAGTATAGCCCAGTGCAAACTTTAAAATGTGCATTTATTTCTTGGCATCAGTAGCTCCTGAGAATTTGTCAAGAAAACAGTCTTTTTTTAAGGGTTGAAAATGTTAATGACACAGAATAAAAATACAAAGCTATTGTGGAATGGACAGATCTGGGAAGGCAGGAACTCAGCAAGGTCAAAAAAACTGTGATGTAATTAGCCAACAGTTGCTGTTTCTTGATCAGTTACTCTATTGTCCACATTTTACTAACAAGGCTCTTTGATGAATTTGTCTCACATTTCATTCTGAATAATACTTGTTTGATGAAAAGCATTTGTTTTACAAATTAGGTAGTTTATACACATCACAGCTGGGGTGGGTAACCTGTAACCCCCAAATACTCCTCCCCTTTTTTCTAGTCTCCAAATTCCCTTTAAACTACAGTATATGATGAACTTCTACTATCTCTTTTTCATACTCCAAGAGATTCAATGGTTTACATAGACTATAAAAAACAAATAAAATATATAGGGTACTAACTTCTGAAAAACAATAATAAGACCACCAACCAAATATAAGAATTCAAGCAAGAAAAGAAGTTAGACATGGAATGGTAAAATTAGGTGAAGGCTCTCTAAAATAGTGCTGTCTTTAGAAGCTTCCAAAAAATCAGCAAGGAGATCTCTTGATCTCTTTCAGGTAGCTGTTCCATACTGTAATTGATCCTGCTATTGAAAAGCAGTGCTTTCTTGCTCCGGTATCTTAAACTTCTTTTTAAAATGTGGAATCAATAATATTTTCTCTCTGTTTGATCTGATTGGTTAGGCCAGTACTGGATGGAGTATATGGTCCTAGAAATATCTGGAAATCAAGCCATAAGGGACTTTATAGGTTAAAATCAGCAACTTAAATTGTACCTGGAAACCAACTGGCAGTGAATGCAAGCTCCCCACATTGAGGAAGAAATGCACAAAAGCTGCAATCAGATTTTAAAAATCAAGAAAAAATTCATCCTATCCCAAAAACAAAGTAAAACCAAATCCCAGCTTTGTTAGAATGCCTGATATCAACTCACTCAATCCATATTATGTATTTTCCACTGAAGCTTCTCAAAAACTATTAAGTGAGAACCCCACTTCATAAAGTTAGTCCACAGTTAGATTACTAACCAACAGTTAGATTACTGTTAGCTCTGTAAAGTAGTCCAGACAAGAAGTACAACCAGGAGTATTAGCTCTATCCTTATTTCAAGGCTACATTAACAGAATCTTGCAAAACTGAAAATGTTTGTTTTTCCTTTTACACTTCAGAAAATTAGGGTCTGTCCTGAAACATTTTCTATACCATCTTCCCTTTTGTGGGCTGAGATATCCTTTACATACAGATGTGCCATCTATAACTCTCCCTCTCTCTTAAGGTCATTCCCACATACCATTAAGATTGCAGAGTGATGAAACTGAGATTGCATTCATTGTATCTGCCTTCTCTAATATGTGTCCTATAGAATTGAGGAAATCCAGCAGTTGCAGCTAAAACACTTCTGGAGATTTTGCATTACAGTGATTGAGTGATGTGATGGTTCAGTGGTAGACATGTTGGTGGGCACCCTTCCCACTAGGTCCATGTAACAGAGGATGAGCAACAGAGCCCTACCTACTCTTTCCCATTGACAGGCTAACCAGCCATCAGAAACAGCTACCAATAAGGAAGAGGAAATACCGATCTCAATTAGCATGGAAGGAAATGAAAGTAAAGATTACCCTACCCCAATGAGTCATATAAAGAAGACAATTTTTGAAAACCGCCAAGAAACAGAAAACTTTTTTCTGCTGAAAGTACAGGAACAGAATTCCAGGACATATAATAGAGCTACGTCTACTTTATCTTCCTCAAAAGCAGCATGAAGATGATTCATACTTGTCTTAAGTTCAACTGAGCTTTTAAACACTGAAAAGAAGAAGAAAGAGGTATCATTCAGTCACTGCACCATCTCAAAGTGGTGGACTATTAATCATTCTCTAACTTCATGCAAAAGGGAAAGGCAGCTTTTACTTCCACATCCAAGTCATTATTCCAAATTATGTTCCTGCAGATGTAGAGATGTCCACATGGATAGCAATATTTTAAAAAAACAACACCCCTCATGTCTGCTGTTTAATTGACCTGCAGCTGAACCAGAAAGAAATCAACTTACTTTTCCATTTCTACTTAGCCTCATGGGATAACAGGTATAGAGATGCTGCCAAGCTAATGCAAACCCTACCCCACCCCTGGAGAAATGTTTATAGACTCAGTTGGAAGCTGTATCTGAAGAAAGGAAAGAAATACTGTATGTTTGGAAATTTACATTTGCTTCAGTCCTTCAGTTTTCATTTTTTGGCAGAAACCATCATTTCATATTTTGGGTCCAAATCAGATTGCTGACTTCTAAGAGGTTCAAAATGAAGCCAACCTTTTTTAATGTTAAGAGTTTAATTTTTCAAAATGGAATGCATGTGATAAAAACATCATTGTGTGTGGTCTGAATACTCATTCAGCTACTGGCTGATCATACTATTTAATAATAATTTAGTTTAGTTTAGTTTTCAGAAGATTGCAGACTAGATACAACTGTAGTTTAGGCAAAAAAGAAATAGTGCTAAGCCATTCAATCCTCTTCAGTTGTCTTAAAATACCTTGGCTCACTCCAGCCTAAAGTAATTTTTTTAAGTACAGTACAGGTCACCTTTCGTTATTCTGAAAGCCAGTTATTTTACCATTTGTCAAGGCAGAAACAATTGCTCCTTATGAGATTGCACTATTCAGTCATGTCAGGCTACCAGATTTCAAATTAGAGAATAACATTGTTAGAAAGGACAGTGGAGATCTTTTAGTCTAACTCCCTGCTCAAGCAGGAAAGCCTATACATTTCAGACAAATGGATGTCCAATTTCTTAAAAACCTCCAATGTTGTCTGGAGGCAAGTCGTTCCCCACTGGTTTCAGGTAAAAATCCAGGTAATCATTAGATGTCAGTGAAGAGATACAGAAAACTCTTAACACTTTGATACTATTTAATAATCATCCAGATTTTTGCAGCCCAGATCTGGTGGCTTGAATTCATGGGACTTCCTCTGATTTTTTAAAAAGTGTAACTGAAATTGCAAGCATGCTTTGAGAGGAGGAAAGTAACTAATTCAGGCATGGCTTTGCAAACAGGCAATTTGCAAATTAATTACCCCAAACAATATGTTCTGAGGACAGGTTGTCCACACACTGAGGCAGCATCCTTTTTGTTGTCTGGCAGCTCCCTGGTAATGGGCAGTTGAAATGCCTTTTTAAGAGTAGACAATGTGCCTGTTCATGTGTGCAACAATTTAGTGGGGAAGCTATAACGCCCACCCCGGGTGGTGTAGGCTTGTCCTGGTTGTGTCCAGCTGCTGTAGCTCCATCCCAAGAATACAAGAAGCCATGTGTACACAACAAAGCACGCTTGCCTTATTGCCCCTTCTGGCCTGGAAATGCCACTAGCATATGGGCCTTAAGGGAGTCTATTCATTTACCAAACATTACATTCTCCCTAACTAAATGACAATGTTATTGGGCCTTCGATCAAGCAAGTGGCTCCAATTAAATTCCCTAGATGGTCACAAATGGGATGCTAATTGGCTTGGCTCATCGATTTTCTGCACACCTTCTCAAGAAGCAGATTGGGGTATTTTTCAGGCGTCTGATTGTTAATTGAAGTAATGAATAGAGAGCTGGGTGAGCAGCTCACTTCGGTTTGGTAAATTTAACTCAAGCTATTCATGAGACTTCTAGCAACCGAGTGCTTTTCATGGGAGATGAGTAGCAATAGATTAGCTGGAGCCAATCACAGTCTAGCCTGGGCTCTTTATAACTTTACTCAGTATGGCTTCTGGTTGCTGAACATTATAAAAGGACAGCTTTGTAAAAATATCCTAAAGAATAGCTTTTGTTCTGGTGGACTCAAAATATTCTTTCAGCTCTAGAGCTTGTCTGCTTTCTAGAACGGCTATTCCTGAGATTCCCAAAACTTACTGTCTTATCATTTTTCATAAGGCCACTGAATTGAGTTACTACAGGCTTATTTCCACAAGAAATCATCTTGTTTTGGGTAAGCTCACTGGTTACTGAATGTGAATGTGGCTACCATGAAACAATGGACACTTATTCACAAAAATGGTGCCAAAAACTGCCATGGCTAGTCATGAAATGTATAAGCCCAATCTCCGTAGCCACCTTTCTCGCCTTTATTTTCTAAAGGGTAGCTATACTCTACAACTATTCATAGTTTTAGCTTGTTAGTTTGGTAAGAAAGCATATCATGCCCATGTGGGCTCAAAAATATTAGCGGTGGGGTGAGAATGAGACTTGTGATTTTCTTGATACTATATCTTAAATGAGTGAAAGCCAGCCAGATAATATCCAGGCATGTCGCTATGAGGACACTGATGGGCATATTGTAGGTTCACTCTACTTAGTTCTGATGTCTATCAGTCTGATCTGATCAAGAGCTACTCTTGATCAAAGCTAGGAAATGCTTCATCTAAACAATACAGTAACTCCACCCTTCTAAAATAAATCTCCCCCCCCCCATCAACAGATTTGCTTGCTGGATAACAAATTGCAGATGCTGTGGCTGAATGTGTAATTCCATCCAGTGATTAATTGAAATCTTAATTGGAAACACCATTAAAAGGAGCTCTGGTAGCGCAGCAGACTAAAGCACTGTTATTAACATCAGCTGCCTGCAATTACTGCAAGTTCAAATCTCACCAGGCTCAAGGTTGACTCAGCCTTCCATCCTTTCTAAGATAGTAAAACGAGGACCCAGATTGTGGGGGCAATAAGCTGACTTTGTATAAATATACAAAAGTATGAAGGCTATTGCTTAACGCATTGTAAGCCGCCCTGAGTCTTCGGAGAAAGGCGACATATAAATCTTTTTTTTTTTTAAAAAGTGTTTTAAAAGTGTTAAACAGGCAAAGTCCAGCTAAATATTAGAAGGTTTTGTTTGAATAACACCTAGAATATAAGATTATTTTTTGCTTTGATTCAATTTGCTTTTTAATGTAAAGTAGATTTATATTTTTAAAAAAGATAAATTTGCAAACTTTGGCAGAAATAGAGCAGTCTTAAGGCTAGGAAAATGAGCTTTTACAATAAGTGAAATTTATATATATATATATATATATATATATATATATATATATATATATATATATATATATATATACTTTTATTCTTCCATGTTTATAAAGCAACAGGACAGTTTATATAATCAAACACAGCCCTCTATTGGTCAAAACAATTAATTCAACCTTCCCAATGCATAAAACATAAAACAGTTTTATGATGGTATATTAGATTATTTAAAATATTCTTTATAAAATTAAAAAGCCTATAAAGTATCCTTAATATTAACAGTTTACTAAATTAGAAGTCCAAGTGTTTAAAATAGAATTAAACATAGAATTAGAAGACTTATATTTCAATAAAAAGCCATTTTAGTAACTATATGCCATATTTCTGTAGATTTGAAAAAAGTAATATTGCAGTGATAAATATTACTTATCTGACTACTTTGTAACCTTACATGACTTGTTAACAAGGTGTTGATGGATTTAGCAAATTATTGGTGATGTGGCAATCAATCTGATGTTATTACATGTAATTGAATATTCTACAGACTTCCTTTTGGATATTTTTCTTTTTAATTTTGTTCTCAAAGATTATTGCTTTTATAGATGGTACTATTCTTATTATATATTATTCAAACTTAAAGCAAGACAACAGAAACAAATATCATTTGTGACTGCAGGATACTGAAGCCATTGTAACTGTAAGCAGTTGCCAAGGACCAAAATCGCGATCACATGACCCTGGTGACACTGCCATGGCTGAAACTTCAAGGACCAGTCCTCATCATTGTAACTTTGAACAGTTGCTAAATGAGTAGGTATTGTAACTCTTGAAATAGGCAGTTGCTATGTTTGCATAAGCTAGAGCCCAATTTTTCTTAGCACCCAGTTGCAATCCTATTAGCGATGTATGTGTGTGAATTACATCTGTAAAAAGGGTAAATGGTCCTCTGTGACTGATTTTGCCAACAGGCTTATGGATAACCCAGTTTTCTGGATTGAACTATAAAATAAATATAAGGGTTACATTTTTTTAACATGCTAGGCTAACTTGGTACTTGCTAGCTGGTCATGCAATATTTAATTAATTGCTGCAATTAGTTTTCCTCCTCAAACTATGACTATTCAATTCTCAGGATAATTCTACATGCAGTTGTTGAGATGGACTGTAGAATACAAAGTTATTATAGATTTGTTAAATATTAATAGGCCATTAAACTGTTTTCATTTTCTAGTTAAAAGCACAGATTATATTATTCATTTACAAAGTTCAAAATACATACACCAGTACAAAGTTTGAATATTGTAATAGAGTATAGGTAGTTCTTATTTACAACAGTTAATTTAGTGACCATTTGAAGTTATAATGGCACTGAAAAATGACTTATGACCATTTTTTTTACATTTACAACCATTGCAGCATCCCAATGGTCATGTGATCAATATTCAGACGCTTGACAACTGACAGTTGCAGTGTCTCAGGGTCATGTGATCGCCTTTTGTGATCTTCTGACAAGCAAAGTCAATGGGGAGGCCAGATTCACTTAACAACCATGTTACTGTGTTACTAACTTAACAACTGCAGTGATTAACAACTGTGGCAAGAAAGATTGTAAAATGGGGAAAATTCACTTAACAACTATCTCACTTAGCAACAGAAATGTTGGAATCAATTGAATTGAACTGAATTGAACTTTGTTTGGCCAAGTGTGATTCAACACACATGGAATTTGTCTGCAGTACAGAAGCACTCAGTGTACATGCAAAGCAACATAATCATCATCATCATATTCATCCAGAACATCATCCCAATAAAAGAGGGGAGAACTTACTTTGTGGTCGTAAATTGAGGACTACCTGTAATACAAGTTGTATATTAAGCAATAAATATTACAATTTTAGACCACAGATGGTGAGAGCGACTGAACAAAACTTCATTTCCTATCTGGTAATTGCCAACAATTGATCAGCTAAGAGGAAGAAAATATTTTCCTTTTCTGAACTTCCATGAGATTTGAATAAATAAGATATTATTAGATTCTTGTGCCAAGTTGTATAAAGGAATTGTGAAGAAATATATGTACATTGCCACCTGAAGAGGAAAAGGCACTCTGACAAAGGAATACTATTAAATACTTTCCAGCAGTGATGTTAGCAAAACATCAAATCTAAACAGAGTCCAGATTGTTCAGTAAGCCAACCATAAAATATTATCAAAGTAAATAGAAGTTGAAAAGGATCTTCCAAACACGTTTGATCTAAAACATTAAGCCTTCCATTTGCCACCATTCCTCGAAAACTGACAGTAACTTCATAGTTTAGTACAATATATTAAGCATCTTTTTTCAAACTATGACTGTTTGTTTGATGCAGTACCACTAATACTATACAACATTTTACAAAATATAATGGCAATAATCACATTCTGAATTATTAAAAATTATAGAGCAATGTTCATGATACTTAAAGCTTAAGACACCTAGGACTATAAAAACCATAAACCGAATGTTCCTGAAGCTGCCCAATATATGTGTTTAAGAACTTTGTGGTAAGTTTTTTGTATGTTCTTACTAAGTTTGAAATCTAGTTCAATTTTGATAAAAAGTCATATTTGGTTTCCCTACATGGTTTAATTTGCTTGAAAGCTCCCAAATTTCTTGACCTCAAAGATCATTTCACCAATTTAATGAATGACATGCATTATTGCAATTGACCTATCCAATATGTGACTTTAATTAGCTTCCAGAGAGCCTGGTCTAAGCAAGATAAGAGCAAATGGTTGAGCAGATGACCATTTGTTAAGAACTGTGATGGGCACACACCTTCACAGAGAGGAATTCAATCACAAATTCAGAACCTGTCACTTCCGTTTCCTTAGGCTGGACGTGATCCATAAACAAGTGGCACCGTATGGATCTTAAACCCACATCAAACCATAATTTTATGATTCTGATCTTATGAAATGCAATATTTGCTTATTAACACAGCTTTCCTAAACTTGATATTTCCAGGTATGTAGGATTATTATCCTCAGTCAACATGGCAAATAAATCTCAAGTGGAGCAATTCTTGGGAGCTGGTAATTCAGAGGAAATTGCCAACCATTGAATCATGAAAGATATATGACACTCTATGGAAACAAAAATGGGAGTTGAAAGAAGCAGTATAGAAAGAATATTGATGCTTTTGAAATTTGGTGTTGAAGACTCCTGAAAATACTATAGACAGCTAAGAAAGTAAACCACTGGATCATTGAACAAATCAACCCAGAGTTCTCACTCAACGCACAAATGAGCAAATTATCCTACTCTGGACACATTACATGAAGAGTTAGTTCTCTTCATAGAGAAGATGGAAGCTGGGAAAAGTGGGAGGAAAGAGAAGAGGATGAGCAGCAGCAAGGTTACAGTGGCCATGAGTGCACCATTGGAAGTCAGAATAACACAGTTGGAAGGGGCCTTGGAGGTCATCAAGTCCAATCCCCTGCTCAAGCAGGAAACCCTATCCCATTTCAGACAAATAGCTGTCCAGTTTTTTCTTGAAAAACTCTAGGTTCAAACACTAGATTAGGGAGAGATTATCATGAAGAAAATCTATCTGTGCAGTCAAAAAATGACTTGATGAGGCACACTTAATTAATCAAAAAGTTTGAGACAGCAGAAGTGGACTTGACAGATTGATACACACAGGATACAGAATACCAGAATTGGAAGGGACCTTGTAAGTCATCTAGTCCAACCTCTCTCCCCCCCCTCCAATCTGACAAATGGCAGAAATGACAGATGACATAAAACCCACTAGTGGGTAAAAACTTTTTGTCATACAAAAAAAAAGGAACAAGAACCCATTTTTTTTTTAAATAAAGCCATCAGACTGTCCTCCTGGTTGGATTTTCCCTGCCTTCCCATCTTCGTCCCACGTGGAAACTCGCACACGTACTCCTAGAAACGTCAGCACTAGGGTGTCTATGGAGATTCTCAGTCATCAAGGTTGCCCCCAAAGATGCTTTTTTTCAAGAAGCAACTGGACTTTCTGGTTTTTTCTTTAAAGACGTTTTTGCTTCTCATCCAAGAAGCTTCTTCAGCTCTGACCATCTTCCCCACCATCCAGTCAGAGCTGAAGAAGCTTCTTGGATGAGAAGCAAAAACCTCTTCAAAGAGGAACCTGAGTGGTGTAGGAGGCTAATGCCTCCTAAAGGCAGCATTTAACATCCAGCTGCCTGCAATTGCTGCGAGTTCAATTCTCCCCAGGCTCAAGGTCGACTCAGCCTTCCATCCTTTCTAAGGTGGGTAAATTGAGGACCCAGTTTGTGGGGGCAATAAGCTGACTTTGTATAAATATACAAAAGTATGAAGGGTATTGCTTAACGCATTGTAAGCCGCCCTGAGTCTCTGGAGAAGGGCGGCATATAAATCAAATTAAAAAAAAAAGTCCAGTTGCCTCCTGATTTTTTTCCCCCTTAAGGTCGGCGCTAGGGCCTTGCTGAAGGAACAGGCGGGTTCGTCTTGCGCATGCGTAGGTTTCCTCAGCCGGGGCAGCGCCGCCGACAACTGTTCTCTTGAAATGGGGAAAAGAAGCGCTCGGATTCGGCGAAGTTGAGAGGAAAAGCGGGTTGGGCAATGACGAGCTCGCCTGATTCCAGCATGCTCGGCTCCCTAACGCCCCACGAGCGGAGGTGAGGGGAGAAGCGCCCGACGTCTTCTGTCAGATTCCCGGCGGCTCAAGAAATGAGAAAAAGGGGGGGGGGGGAAGGGAAGGGACTTTTACAGTAAAGCCGCGGTTTCCTGACGGAAGAGGGAGGCTCGAGCTCAGCCGACACGCGCTTTGGGTCTGTGGTTTTCTAAGCGCGGCTTTTGGGCTCAACCTTAGTAGCTTGAAGATGGGTGGACTTCAACTCCCAGAATCCCCTAGCCAGCAGCGCTGGCTGGGGGATTCTGGGAGTTGAAGTCCACCCATCTTCAAGCTACCAAGGTTGAGAAACACTGGTCTGGAGGGATTCAAGGAGGCTTTTTGAAAGTAAACCTGCCTAGAAAAGCAGTTGCTATTTATAAGATGATGATGATAAGGACATGGTGGTGTCCATTTATGATGGATAATTTCCAGGAGAAGCTAACTATCCAAACCTAGTACAGTACAAGGTTTACCTGGGTTCTCTCATATATGCCTTATTTGAGGTTGGGTTTTTTTTTTTGCTTATAAATCAAACCCTAATTCAGGTCATACGATTTAGGCTTAATTGTGAATCCAGCCCTCGTAAATTATTCATTTTATGTATTGTATGAACTAAGATATTTTTCATTCCTTCTAGGTGGCCAGATGCAAAAAGGCTACAGTTCGATTGATGTGAAGAACATTTTCAAAGTGGCGTTTATTTTGTGTGGGTAGGAAAAAGGAAGAGAAACATTGCTATGTTTGCTGAAATGTTCTTATATAATTTTAAAAAGGCAGTCTCTCTTCAACTCCTTACTAGCTGCCCAGAGTACTCTGTGGTAATAATATTACGGCCAATAATTTTTATAAATAAATAAGTTACTCTTATCTTTTAACCAGGGGTGGGTTCTATTTACCTTTACTACCGATTTGCAATGGGACCGCGCACGCGCAGAAAATTGGTTGGTTAAGAGGTTTCAGTAAATTTCTAGGTGGTCTATAATATATCTGAAAATATTTTTAGTTCAAAATATCAATAGCCATCATCAATATCAAAAATTTCCCCATTTTTTAAGGCCACTAAAGCTGAAATACTCTTGGGATAAAAGCAAATAACACTGAAAGTTCAGTTATAAAAAAATAATTCTAGATTGCCCAAGTGCTTAAAGGCATACTGTACTTGTTTATTAAGTGGAACAGCATGTACTTTTTCTCTTGACTTAACTATTTCTGCTTTGGTTGGTGAACCTAAGAATTCAAAATAAATAAATTGAACTAAATCGCACAAGTAGAAATATTTTTCCCCTTGATTTAAATTAATATTTTAAAAGAGTACTTTTCCAATTTCTGTCTTAGAAAGTATTCAAATAGCCTGCAATTTTGCATAAAATACTGTATTCACCATATTGTAAAAAAGAACATTATTTTCTGTTGTGTAGAACTAAAATATAGTTTCATTGAGAAAAACTAGGTAAGTGTCAAAGTACCAGGTGAAATTCTTACTTGAAATTCTTCTTTAATTCAGCCATTTAAGTTTATCAGTATTTTGTATTTGCTGACACGTAACAGTTGAATATATGTGCTCATACATAATGGAAAGTTCAGTTTACTATGATTCAGATTAGCTGCGATCAAAGTTCACATAATTAGGGAGGAAATGATTATTATACCAGACTTAGCAAACAATAATTTTCTATGAGAAACTTATCTTGAATTAGGAACTTGCTTACTTTAAAACAAACAAAAAACTTTCATTTGAATATATTATTGCTGTTGCTTTAATAAGAGAATTGGCTAAAGTATGATGATTCATCACAAGGAAAATTACAAATATAGAATATTAGTCCAGTTGAATATTATATAATTTTTTGAAATACAATACATTTTAAAAAGAAATAAATTATAGAACGTTCTAATTTTGACAAATGAGGAAAATTTTTGCAAGATTCATATCTTAGTTATATATCTATAATGTAATTTCATTAGTTTAACAAAATCAGTGTTTTTTTTGGTATAAGTACTTTACTCCTTTCTCTCTTTACTCCTTGTCAAAAATCAGTGAATTCAAAATTTTAGGTCAGTATTTATCTCAATAATCTATTTTATTATTTTTCCACAGAATTTTCCTCATGCCAAAAAAAAGTATTATTACAGTAATAGTATCAATAGAATTGTAAAATCTGTCTTAAGACCAGGGTGGATTTGATTTAAATCAAATCCATTTAAATAATGATTTAAATCACTAGTAAAAAGACTTGATTTAAATCAACTCGATTTAAATCATAATTTTTAAAGAGTTTCCCAAAAATGTAAATATTGCAAAATATACAGCCTCTTGCTATATACCGTACTTTTTGGGGTATGATGCATTCTCCCTCACAAAAGTGGGTGAAAATTGCGGTGCATCTTATACACCGAATGTTGACCAAGTCCTGCCTACCCGCCAGCCCCCACCATTCAGCTGTTTTCAGCCTCTGCATGTCGCATTTTGGCTGGTCCCAGGTGGTAGGGATCTGTGGCAGCGAATGGGCCATGGCGGTGACGAACAGGTGGCAGCGGCAATGGGTTGCACTGGCAAACGGGTAATGGCAGTGGTGAACGGGCCGCGGCGAACAGGCCGTGCCAGTGAATGGGCTGCGATGAACAGGCCGCAGCGGTGGCAAACGGGCCGCGGCAAATGCGGCAAATGGGCCACACCGGTGGTGAACAGGCCACTGCAAATGGGCCACGGCAAGCTGCAGATTTTTTTTCTTGTTTTCTCCCCCCAAAAGGTAGGTGTATCTTATACTCTGGTGCGTCTTACAGTCTGAAAAATATGGTAACTAATCTCTATTTCATGCTGAATAAACTAAATTATTAATGTAATTTAAATAGAAAACTATCTTTAGATAGATTTTTACTCCAAAAGCATTTTATTAAAATAAATTTAATTTTAAAAAATCCAATTTAAATTTTAAAAATCCATTTTTTAATATTTTTTTAAAAATCATTTTTTATCCACCTTGCTTAAGACTTCCAGCAGTATTTTCTATAATTTTTCAGGAGTAACAAGTTTTTAAAGATAGTTCTTATAGATTTTTATTACATTGTGTATTTTTGTAAGTCTTCAAGGCAGAAATTACAAACTAAAATACATTACTGCATTCTTGATATGGCATGTTAATGTTGTACTGCATCTAAGCAGCCTTTCTAGTACATTTTGCAGGATGACTCCATTTTTCTCAAATAAAATTTCATAGTTCCTTTTATGAGACAATTTTATTTTTTCATATTATAGGAAATCATAGACAACTGCTCAAAAAAGTGAAAGAAAAAGTCTAATGGAGATCATGAAGATCCCAAAACTATTCTACGTCTTTTCAATTTTCACATGTGCTGCTATATATGCTGTTTATACCAAGTGGAATTTTGACTACAAAGGAAGAGGTGTTGACAAAGGTTTGGAAAAGGAGCTTGGTGCTGAAATCTCAAGAAAAGATGAGGCAGTTCTTTATGGAATTATGTTTGATGCTGGAAGCACTGGCACCCGTATACATGTATTCCAATTTGCACAGAAACCAAAAGGTAACCCTTCAGTTCATAATTTTGCTAATATAGGCAGTGCTCACTTACCAACCACTTGTTCAGTAACTGTGGAAAATTGCAGCAGTGCTGAATGAGTGGTACCTACAACCTGTCTTCAGAATTCTGGCCATCAGTGTCCCCATGGTCATGTGATCATGATTTGGGAAACTGGCAACCACTCAGGACGATTACAGTGTCCCATGGTCATGCGATTGTCATTTGCAACCTTCTCTGCCTGCTTCCCACAAGCAAAGCAATAGGGAAGACAACAGGGAAGGTCATAAATCATTCTGGTCAGTTCCCTCCAGCCTTCCTGCACACTGTATCATGCTGTCTTTCCCTTGACTGCCACATAGTAACATCCCACACACCCAACTCACATGCAGTCTGAACTGGTCACATGATTGCCATTTCTGCACTTCAGAATTGGTATGCAGTCAACTATCACAGTCTTCCATGATCATGTGATCACCATTTGTGCAGAAGCAATTAATAGAGAAGGTGGAAGTAAAATCATAAGTCATGATCATGTGATATTTTGCTTAATAACTAGTGATTTGCTTAATGACCGAAGGAGAAATGAGATCATAAGCCTGTCATAGTCATGTGATGTTTTGCTTAGTGACTGCAGTGATTAACAATGAAGTTTTTGTTCTAATTGTGTTTACTAAATAAGGGCTACCTGTGCTGTCCTCATACTATTTTCTTTTATTGTTTACTCATGTTGGAATTTGCTGCCCCCTGGTGGCTCAAATACTTTAATACTGTTTATAAAACCTGTGGCATATTTATTTATATATTGAAGGGTGGTGGGGTTTTTGAGATCTGTTTTGAAGATGGAGCAACAGATGCAAAGAACATGGTCTAATTATAATTTCCATGTGAATGTAAATATTGTAATCCTTAGGTTACAAATTGTTGAAGGCAGTTCATAAGAAATATATATATATATGATTTTTTAGGAATCATAAATAGTGTCATCATACAATGAAGAGCTATTCTCATAAGACAGAAAGAAAGAAAGAAAGGGGTTCTGCTGGGTTTTCTTTTCTGTGGTTAGTCCCTCTTATGAAGAAGGATTGCACATTAATTTCTTGATTAATTAATTTAATTAATTTAATTTTCAGTGTCTTTGATTTGCAGACTGCAAAATTATATATAGAATCACTTTATTACATTGAGTTAATTTTTCTTTTTTAAAAACAGAACTTCCTAGATTAATTGATACCACATTCAAAGCATTAAAACCAGGACTCTCTGCATATGCTGACAATGTGGATAAGGTAATTTGAACTTAATTTAGGCCATGCTTGCCTGGAAATAATTTTTAATTATTGTTAAGTTATAAAAACTATAATAAATTATAAATATTAACATAAATTATAAAAATTATAATAATAGCAATTTCTTCTGAAGAAACATGCATATCATTGTATTACCAGGTTTACAGGTGTATAGCTGTTGAAGAAATATATATCTATGCTATTTGTTAGGTAAGGTTTAAAACGTTATATTCTGTCTCCATTTTTAAAAGGTATCTTATCTACTGAATAATTCTTCAATAGGTAGGCATACCTTGTGCCAAAGTTAGGACCATGGATGTTGACACAAGCAACCAGAACTGCTCCGAGGTTTCACTCAAGAGATTTCTTTATTGTTGAGTTGACAGACTGCCTGCCTTCCCTTGGGAAAGCCTGATATAGTGTTTGATCTCATATGCTTTCTCACCCCCTATAGAGTCCAAGCTACCATATTTCTTAATTCTCCCTATCGGGGCCTCCTTCCTTTCAGCTCTTGACTCCACCTGGAGTTGTTTTTATGTCATATAGAGGTAAGATCTGTCTGAAACCTGAATTTTCCTGGCTCTTCATGTAGTACTAGCATGTCTAAACAATAAAACATATTGCATGTGAGACAACTTCATCTAGTGAAAGTATTTAGGATAGGCACAAAATCTGACTTAGTGCTTAGGAGGAAAGCCAGGTCCTGAAAATCTTCCAAAAGGCAAATAGAGCTGAAGTCATCTAGATCTTGGAGAATGCTATTTCATAGAACAGGCAGGACAACAGAAAACTAAATGCTGTGTTTTATATATATCAAGAAGTAGTTGTTAGTTGCGAAGTCGTGTCCAACCCATTGCGACCCCATGGACAATGTTCCTCCAGGCCTTCCTGTCCTCTACTATCCCCCGTAGTCCATTTAATAAAATCAAGAAGTTAAGCAGCCTCAAAATCTTAAAAATAAATAAATATCCTGCATCATCCCCATTTATGGTTATTTCTTTTTTAACTGCTTGAATGAGAGCCCATCTGTTTTAATGGTTTAAGGCACCAGGCTAGAAGCCAAAATAAGAGAACATATGCATGCCTGCATCCCCACACAAAACCCTGCTTAAATAAAAAGGCAACACATTTTATTTTGTCAGAGTGCTGAAGGAATAAATGAGCTATTGGCAGTTGCTAAAGAAGCTGTTCCTATGCATTTGTGGAAGTCAACTCCCTTAGTTCTTAAAGCAACCGCTGGTTTAAGATTGCTGCCAGAAGAAAAGGCACAGAAATTATTGGATAAGGTATTTTGTTCTCTACTCTTATTATCTTGATTAGTTTAATTAGTTTGGTATCAGGGCAGGAATCTGTCTTAAATCTTCTGCAGTATGTAGTCTAGTCTAGTAGATAATGATTAGTTCAGGCTTATTGATGAATGTTGGAGTATTAATAGGGGGCTGCATTACAGTTTGTCATCCAGAGCTATAAGGATGGGTGTCATCAATATTATATTGATTACTTTTAAATCTTCCAATGAAGCAGTGGATGATTTGAACAGGTGTATCAAAGCTTAATACAGATAACACGTCTGGAAGAGGTCTGCACTTGGAATGCGTAAATAATTTGAGTTGGACGGGGTTCATTTCCTCTAAATGCTTTTAATTTTGGAGGTGCTTCTTGCTCCATTATGGCATCCAGAATATCAAGATTACTGTGTATTTGATTTATAGTTTTCCACCACATTCAGATGGTATATCAGTTCTCAGTTCCTGAAAGTAACCAGCTGTTAGGAGACACTGGTACAGATAATCCTTGAGTTACGACCATTTGTTTAGTAACAGTTCAAAGCTTTGGTGCTGAAAAAAGTGATTTATGACCAATCCTCACACTTATGACCATTGCAGTGTTCCCAGTCAATTTGGTCTCTTGGCAACTGGCATGTATTTACGATGCATTCCAGAGTCATGTGATCTCCATTTGTGACCTTCCCAGCCAGTTTCCAAAAAGCAAACTCAGTGGGGGAAGCTGGATTCACTTAACATCTACAAAATTCATTTAATAACAGTGGTGATTTACTTAATAACAGTGGCAAAAAAGTCATAAAATTGGGTATGACTCACTTATTGACTGCCTTGTTTAGGAATCAAAGTTCCAGTCCCAATTGTTTTTGTAAGTCAAGGACTGTCTGTACTCCTGGTAAACAATAAATATATATTTGTAATAATACAAATCAGTAATATCTCTTTGCCATGTTTTCTATTGTTATCCATTGTTTATCTCTGATTTAGACACAATGTTTTTACTTCTTGATGGAAACTCATTAGGGAGGAGGTAGTTTAAATATAAGACAGTAAATTGTTCAGAACGAAGAATTGTTCAACTGCAGAGAAATATAGTCTTTTCTGAATGACTGTGTTTTTTGTATTTTAAATGTATTTGTATCAATCTTCCCTTAATTTTAGGTAAAGGACATTTTTCAAGAGTCTCCATTCTTTATAGGAAATGATTGTGTTTCCATAATGGATGGATCAGATGAAGGTAGTTAAATTTATGTTTCAGTGATTTCACACTATGTTTGCTTTTGATTCTAAAATAAACTTCCTGTGCAGAGAGAATTTCTGTGAAGCTAAGGGCAAACACAACTGTTTGTTTAATATCTCTCCAATGTTTTTTTCTCTTTTGTTCAATCATGTCTGATTCTCAGGAACTGGCTGGACAAGTCCCTGCAGTTTTCTTGGCAAGGTTTTCAAAAGTGGTTTGCCATTGCCTCCATCATAAGGCTAAGGGAAATTGACTAGCCCAAAGTCATCCAGCTAGCTTTGTTACTAAAGTGGGACTAGAACTCACAGTCTTCCATTCTCTAACCTGATACCTTAATCGCTTGACTAAACTGGCTCTCCTACAATATTTTAACTGCTTGCAAATATTTGTTGAGTAATATAAAGAATATCTATTCCTGTTTTATTAAGCTAAATTACTGTTTCCCAAATTTATTTGGCCATGGAATATTTGGGACTCTTTAATATATTAATGGAACATACACATGCTATATCTGGGAAAGGAGGTTTTTACACACACACACACACATATGATAATATTGAGTTTAGTTGAAACTTTGGTTAGGGTTCATTGAAAATAAATCGGTAAAAATGAATTTCAATCCTCACTTAAAAGGAATGCTGTGGATGAGTGTCCATTTTTTGCCCAAAATCTTTACCAGGAGGAGTGTTTTTCTTTTGGTGATCATAGATAAACTTAAAATTAGAGGAATTGCTAGAAAAATCTTTGTGTATGGTGCAGCATTTCGCACTTACTTTTCATTATATCATAATGTGAAAATCCTGTTTCACATATGTCAAACAAAGAAAGAATTCAAACTGCATGTTTTACAACAATTGGGTATTCTTGAATTAAACTGCTCCAAATATAATTTTGAAGAATGTTATTTTTTTATTTTAGTTAAAAAAATAAATCGGTTATTCTTAATTCATGAAACACAGAAATACTGGCTTTGTAGTCCATAATGAAACAAAAACTACACTATAATTTCCTATCCTTTTATAGAGAAATCAAAATGGCTCCTATTATCATATCTGCAGCCAGTTGAAACAAGAAAAAGACATTAGCCTGTTATCTATGCAGAATTCTCAGTTGTCAGGTACTATGCATTCATTGAAATTTATTAGAGAATATCTAGTTGATGTCTAAACTGATAGAGGAGAATATTTGTAGCTCAGAGTTAAAGGGTCCTTGGTACTCTCTGAGCTGGGTTGTTTTCTTGCAAATGATTCATTATGCAAACTAGATACATCATCAGTTTATCTAGTGCTGATGATGCTACCTAGTTTAGATAATGAAATATCTGCAAGAAAACAGAGCACTAAGGACTCCACATAGTCTAAAGTTAGACTATCAAGGATGAGGTGATAGTAGATTTTTGGAGAGAAAAAAATCTGCATTTCCTCAGCACCTTTTTCAATCCCCTAAGGACAAGATTTTAATTCATCCCTCAGGAAACAAATTGAGAATTTCCACTGGCTGTCCTACTGTACTAATAAACAGAAAATGCTATTTGCATTTATGGCAGTTTGCACTTAGCTCCTGAGGAATTCTTCCATTTGTAGTAGGCACTTGGTTCCAATGTTAGCCACAGCCTGGCACCTGCAGGAGTGCTCTAATCTCTTTTACTGAGAAAAAATGACTGCTTCTTTTGAAAGAAAATGAAGCTAGTTTAGTTAAGTAGTATTGAGTTCCAGGTAGAATTGCAAGTTCCATCTTACACAGAATGAGGGCAGGCTCCTGTAGGTGTGAGTGAGCAATTTATTTAATGAAATGTATTGTTTGTAGTTTTATTTAGCTATTACTTATTTTTAGGCTTTACATGTTCTGAGAGTGGAAGTATATTTGAGACAAAATTCTATAGATATGTTTTTCAGTTTGTATTGTATTTAATTTTTTATTTTATTATAAATTGTAAGCTACACACAGTATTGACACAGGATACTGTGTGGCCATCTAGGAAGAAGAATTTTCTATATCAGTGATGGCTTTTTGCCATCACGTGCCAAAAGTGGGGGTGGGGAGTGTCACACACGCACATGCCCACACCCATAATTCAATGCCCCCCCCTTCACCCCCGCCCCCGCCCGCCCCCCCCCCCCCCCCGCTTTTGGCATGCAATGGCCCGGTAGGTCCGTTTTTTGCTCTCCGCAGGCTCCAGGGGCTTTCTAGGAGCCTGGGGAAGGCGAAATGGCCTTCCCCACCCCCCTGGAGGCCCTCCGGAGACCGGAAACAACCTGTTTCGCAATTTCCAGCGGGCCCAGAAGACCTGAAAATAAGCTGACTGGTGCGCGCATGTGCGCTGGAGCTGAGCTAGGGCAACACAGACGTGCCCACAGATACGGCTCCATGTGCCACCTGTGGCACACGTGCCATAGGTTCGCCATCACGGTTCTATACTATACAATACTTTATACTAGCAGGTACTTTGAATCAGTTCATAATGACCATTTCTATATGCAAATATGTGAAGGCAAAAAGCATGTGTCATGCATTGCTCCAAGTTAACTAAGATTTTTTAGCTTGCAAATAGCACACTGAATTGACATTTTCTGTATATCTTTCCTCTAAAGATCCAGCTCATTTTTTCTGATATAGTAGTAACCAGTTTTTAACTTAAGCTCCAGTTAGTGTTAATCAGATACTTATATCCTAATTGTTGTAACAAGCATTTGTCTTCTGTGCCACTTTCTCACGCATCCTGTTTTTGAGTGATTTTGATCAATTTAAATTTGCTCTTATTGATAAATAAATCACAGGAACTGGAAAATTGAAATCTGATCTCTGCTTATTGCATTTTTAAAAACCAGGTATTTCGGCATGGATCACAGTCAACTTTTTAACAGGTATGTTTGCAAGTATGTAATGTTGTATTATATTTATATTCTATATCATTATTATTTATTAAACTTGTCAGTTTAATAAGTCACCCATCTTGTCAGAGGCGACTCTTAAGTGGCTTACAAACTTTCAATTAAAATGTCCTATAAAACATTAAAACAGTAATAAATATAATAAATTTAAAATTCAATTAAAATAAAACTAAGCAAGATGGAGAGGGAGGGGACAAAGTGGAGGGAGGAGCACAGGGAGGAGGTGGGGTATTATCAGTCACCTCCAAAGTGCTCACTCCCATTGGGAATCCAATATAATACAATTTATGTTCTCTCTAAATGTTCAAAGTATATACAATAGTACTAGTTGGCTATATGGTATTTGCTAAAGTAATTTGCTATATAAAACTACAAGATTGACATAAGTACTATTGCATTCAGTGTAGCAGTTCCCAGGACATAAAACTGCAGCCACAGTTGCTTCAGATAAAACTCCAGTTATAGTTTGAATTTAAAACCTATGCTTACTTTAAATATATTTCAGCAAATACAAGAAAAACATTTCCATGTATTTATGTTCCTTGTTTGTTATTTGAAATTATAAGTCTGATTTATACTGTATATGTGTGATAATATAGGCAAGGTACATGTGTTTTACTTGGAACTGTTTGTAAAAATAATTACATTTCTTGAATAAACATTCCATTAACTTTGCTTTATCAAATGATGCATTTCAGACAGCTTGAATAATCCAACGAAGAAATGTGTAGGAATGCTAGATTTAGGTGGTGGATCTACTCAAATCACATTTCGCCCAAGCACCGAAGTAAGAAGAATACAAGTCCCTTTTATTTCAACTCTTTCAAGAGATCACCAGATATTTTTACACTTTTTTGTTTCTGTTGATTTGCTTCAATTTTGATTTGGGGTATAAAAACATGCCAGTTTTAGCATGGATTTAAAACTTGTATTGAAGTAGGAATTTAATAAACTCTCCACTGTTGACATTTGATGCTAGTAGGTTTTTCTATTTAAGAGGAGGAAGGCTGTCAGCAACTATTGCTTTTAGATATATGGCTTCCATTATTGAAAAGAATTGTGCAAGGTTAATACAGTTGCAAGAAAAAGTATGTGAATCCCTTGGGATTACGTAGAGTTTTGCATGAATTAGTCATAAAATGTGCTCTGAACTTCATCTAAGTTACAACAATAGAAAAACACAGTCTGCTTAAAATAATACTACACAAACATTAGATGTTGCCATGGTTTAATTGAACATAACATGTAAACATTCACAGTGCAGAGAGGAAAAAGTATGTGAACCTTTGGACTTAATAACTGGTTGACCCTCCTTTGGCAGCAATAACCTCAACCAAACGTTTCCTGTAGTTGGAGATCAGACCTGCACAACGATCTGGAGTAATTTTGGACCACTCCTCTTCACAAAACTGTTTCAGTGTAGCAATATTCTTGGGATGTCTGGTGTGAATCGCTCTCTTATAGTCATGCCATAGCATTTCAATTGAGTTGAGGTCAGGACTCTGACTGGGCCACTCCAGAAGGTGTATTCTGTGCTGTTGAAGCCATTTTTTTGTTGAATTACTTGTATGCTTTGGGTCATTGTCCTGTTGCATCACCTATCCTCTGCGGAGCTTCAGTTGGCGGACAGATGGTCGTACGTTTTCTTGCAAAATGTCTTGATAAACTCTGGAATTCATTTTCCCATCAATGACAACAATCCGTCCAGGCCCTGAAGCAGCAAAGCAGCCCCAAACCATGATGCTCCCTCTGCCATGTTTTACAGTGGGGATGAGGTTTTGATGTTGGTGTGCTGTGCCTTTTTTTCTCCACACATAGTGTTGTGTGTTCTTCCCAAACAACTCAATTTTGGTTTCATCTGTCCACAGTATATTTTGCCAGTAGTGCTGTGGAACATCCAGTTGCTCTTTTGCAAACTTCAAACGTGCTGCAATATTTTTTTTGGACAGCAATGGCTTCCTCCGTGGTGTCCTCCCATGTACTCCATTCTTGTTTAATGTTTTCCTTATTGTAGATGTGTCAACAAAAATGTTAGCATGTGCCAGAGATTTCTGTAGGTCTTTAGCTGACACTCTAGGATTCTTCTTTACCTCATGAAGCATTCTGCGCTGTGCTCTTGCAGTCATTTTTACAGCACGACCACGCCTAGGGAGAGTAGCAACAGTGCTAAACTTTCTCCATTTGTAGAGTCTGTCTTATCGTGGACACATGAACATCAAGGCTTTTGGAGATACTTTTGTAACCCTTTCCAGCTTCATGCAAGTCAACAATTTTGATCGTAGGTCTTCTGAGAGCTCTTTTCTGCAAGGCATGGTTCACATCAGACAGTGCTTCTTGAAACCAGTAAACCCAAAACAGGTGTGTGTTTTTAAAGGGCAGGACAGCTGTCAGCAACACATCCAATATCATCACACTGATTGGAGTCAAGGTTGGCTCACTCCTGGCTCCAATTAGTCATTAGGCTAGGGGCTCACATACTTTTTCCTCCCTGCACTGTGAATGTTTACATGTTATGTTCAATTAAACCATGGCAACATCTAATGTTTGTGTAGTATTATTTTAAGCAGACTGTGTTTTTCTATTGTTGTGACTTAGATGAAGTTCAGAGCACATTTTATGACCAATTCATGCAAAACTCCACGTAATCCCAAGGGGTTCACATACTTTTTCTTGCAACTGTAAATGGCTATGGATGTTACCTAAAATCCAAAACTATATAGTTTAGATATTATCCAAATAATCTTTCCGATACATTGTTCTAAGTCTGATACAGCTCTAGAAATATGCCAGCAGATCTTAAGAGCTAACAAAAATTGTAGCACCTGTAATTTCATCCATTCATTCACAGTATACAGCAAGTATAAAGCTGGAAAAATTTTGCCAGGCAGCACATTTCTAATGCCTCTCTGGCAGCATTGTTTTTGATCCCTAGAAGCTGCTGGCCACCAAGGGCTGACAGACATCATTTCTACTAGGTAGTGTCTTTTCAGGATATCCTTTAAAAGTATCCAGAAGCTTCAGCTGCAAGCAAACATAAAGAAGGGCCCATCTAATACTTTTACTGCGCAAACTGCATTGGGTGCCATTTTGCTTCTGGGTCCAATTCAGGTTGTTGGTTATGACCTTGAAAGCCTTACATGGCATGGGGGTAAGCCATGGGGATAAGCCCATCACACCCAGTCAAGCAGGGAAAGCGTACAATGGGCCTAGTCAGGTAAATAATTCCAACTGGTACGGTCCAGGAAAAGTGCCTTCTCTGCCATTGTCCCTGCCTTGTGGAATATTCTTCCCTCAGAGAAAAGGCAGGCCCCACTCTCCTGGCCTTTCGGAACGTGGTAAAAACATGGCTCTGCAACTTTGCTTGGGACTCACAGAGGAGCACACAACAGTGAGCCTGGTTAGTGCCCTGAAAGCCCCCCCTCCCCCCCCTCGCCTTTTAATTAGCCTTAACACTGGTTTTTAATTCATCCTTGCCCTTTTAAAATATTACATACTCTTTTTATGTTTTAATATTTTATTTGTACGCTGCCCGGAATCCTTCTGTTAAGGAGATTTTAAATGACTTTTAAAATTTGATAATGGTCTATTAGGGGAAATGGTTCTGTATAAGAGCATGCATCTGCCTATTTTATTTAATTGGAAAAAATGAATGGGAGCCCACAAATAAGTATTGAATATAGAAGTTGGAAAGTTGGACCAGAAGGAGGATAAGCAAGTCACAAAGAAGGGGAAAATAGAAAGCTGTGCTTGGATGGCTGATGAGACTTCAAAAAGAAAGAGGGAAGAGGTTTAAAGAACAAATGTCAATATATTAAACAATATATGGACATATTGGAAGCAAGAATGGTTTGAAAGATATGGAGAGGTGTAATGAATGGTGAAAAATAATTTTAGTCAAATTTCCTTTTATTTTATGCCTTTAATTTATTTGGCTTCCTGTTTCTTATTCTTTATCTGCATAATCCTGACAAAGCTGATACAAATGTAGGGTTCAATTAACAAGTAGTATTTATTTTAGTTGTCTTATAGGATGCCACTATAGTTAAGTGACATGAGGCACATAATTTTCAGATACAGGTATCTGTAAGATTCTAGGTTTACTGGATTAAGTAGCATATAAACAGGAAACAGTAGCATATAAACTGGAAGATCATCCTCTGGTCTATTTACTGAAATATCCAATCTTGGATCTTTCTACTTGCTGTTATCTGACCATGATGCATAAAGATATAACACGTAATATTAAGAACATTTAAATATAGCTTTTTAGTAGCTCTCCAACCACATTGCTCTATTTTCTTTTCATGGAATATCAAGTATTTTCTCTTTCTTTACAGACGTCTATGGAGAACTCAACTGCTGAAAACATCATTTCATTTAACTTGTTTAATACTACATATAAACTGAATTCATACAGGTTAGTTGTTATAAAGCTTTTTTATATAGTCCAGTAAATTTTTAAAAAGATTATTAAATGTTCATAGTAATTGATTATTTATAAAAATATCTAATACATAGTTGCATGCAAACATTTAGCACCTCTAGTCAAACAGTATGTTTCTTTTTGATAATCCTAAACTTGGTTAGAAGAGAAATAGAGGTGCTGTCAATTACACAGGATCTAAGATATGGTCATTTCAAGATTATAAATTTAATCAGAAACATTGTGCTGCCTGATTTTTGTCTAGATTATTACAAGAATGGAGTTGGCACAGACTAAATATATGCAGGGTTCTAAGAATCTACCTCAAACATATTCTAGAATAACAACAGGCCAATAAATTATTTGACTCCTATACACAGAAAACCAGAGGATATTTTATAACCCACACTTTTGACACTGTTTCTTTGAAAAGTCTGAGTAATTTAGATTGGCTGGCAATTATACAGATCAGATTTTTCAGACTGTTACTTATAAGCCAGGAGTCCCAGGAACTAGAAAATCAAAATATAAATTTGGAGAAAGATACTGATCAGATTGATGTGTTAAATATTTGTAATATCCTTTCCATACTTTTATAAAGTATTTTTTCCTTCCTTCAAGGACAATCTTTTGGGAATAACAACAGATTATGGGCAATTTAAATTTATCATGTGACCATACAGTTACTAGTTATAAAAGTATTGGCCATTTTATAATAAAACACTACTTAAACATTGATGTTAGGATGCCATTAAATGTAATTCTTTTTAATTATTATAAAGACTACAATATATTTACTTTGACTGTTCATGAATATATTTCATCTTGCTTCTGATGAACCATGAAGTAACTTGCCTATTAAGTGATGAGGTTCATTTTAAAAAGGCCCAGAATGCATTTCACCCCTTTGGCCAGGGGTGAAATCCAGCAGGTTCTGATAGGTTCTGGAGAACTGGTAGTGGAAATTTTGAGCAGTTTGGAGAACCGGCAAATACCGCCTCTGGCTGGCCCCAGAATGGGGTGGGAATGGGGATTTTGCAGTATCCTTCCCCTGGAGTGGGGTGGAAATGGAGTTTTTGCAGTATCCTTCCCCTGCCACGCCCACCAAGCCACGCCGACAGAACCAGTAGTAAAAAAAATTGGATTTTACCACTGCCTTTAGTCTATCTAACTATTTAAAATGTATGGTATGAAAGCAAATTAAATGTTTATAACTGAGTCTGTGAAATGAAATTTAAAAGAAAACAACCATATGCAGCATAAAATTATCATTAAAATATTAGAATAACTGCAAGATGCAAATTAGCTGTAAATCTGCCATTTTCAAAATATCCTTTCTTTCACATGTGGTATTTATAGTCTTATAGTCTGCTCAAGTTCAAGTTTTTTTATTGTTTCATAATTTCAACAGCTGCAAAATCCAGTGCATTCTGTATCTGTTGTTTATAGTCATCCACTGGTAGATATGCTCTACTTCATAAGTACTATTAAACAAAAAAAGAATCTAGTCTTTATCAGAATTGCTTCTCTCAATTTGTCTAGTTACTTGGGATTTGGATTAATGTCGGCAAGACTGGCAATTTTAGGAGGAGTTGAAGGACAAGCCTGTAAGTATTATATATGATTTGAATGATCTACAGGAATCCCAAATTGCTTTTTTTTTTTAATGTTCACTTTTCCAAGTAGATAATGACATATTAATAATACTACTCAATTAAAATCTATGTTTCTTTCTCTTTTCTTTCAAGCTGTTAGAAGTAATGCACAAGTAAAACATAATTTAAAGATAATTAAAACAGATGAAACTCAGTTAAAATAACCATATGCCTAGTCAGAAAACAGACTATGAACATCAACCTTGGCTAATCTTGAAAAGGCTAAGCAAAGTGAGATCTGGTTACTATTGGGAGATCAAGATATATATGATTGCCAAAACCATTCTGAAGCAGCCCTAACCCTAACCCTTAAGCCGGGCCTCCTTCACTTCCTAGATGTGCAGGAAAACTAGCAGTGGTTTCCTACAAGATCTGTTGAGACTGATTCTGATGCAGGCAGTCCTGTACATACCCAGTGCCCACAAAATTGGTGTCGCATGTTCTCATTGTCAGAAAGCAGGAAATATGCAGGCTGTTCTGGAACAGTAGACATTTCTGAATAGTCTTTAAGAGCAAGTAAAACACATTATAGTAGCGAATCCAGATGGCGATGAGAACTTATAAATAGGTCCTGCTGCATCAAGTAGAATTGCCATAGCTGCAGTTATTGCAGCTGGACAAAACTGTTTAGCATACCTTTTATCTGCTGTTATAACAGGAGTCATGAGTCTAAAAGGGCCCCCAGACTGCAAACCTGCTCCTTCATGGGTAGCTCCTACCCACCCAGTGGTAACAATGGTGTTAAAAGAAAACTTGATACACAAACAAACAGTTAACTCATCTTACTTGACTTCAGCTTCAGTGTGTTCTCTTCCAATCAGATTCTTATTCCCAAGCATGTCTCTACAACCTAGCCTAACACAGAGCCACTCACACAGCTGTATCTCAGAACCCCTGACCACCAGTGAGGTATTTCTAATTATCAGAACCATCCCTCCTCTCTCACCCTCATATCAAAGTAGTTGAAGGATCTCCTGGTAGGGCAGATCTCTGACCAGGCTACATTGTCACTTCATGCATCCCAAGTTTCACTACAGATGACAGGTCTGCTGCCTGATTCAGTACCAAGTTATGGATGAAGTTGGTGTTATTGCAAACAGACCTGGTCTTAACTATCAGCACTCTGAGGCTTTACATTTTATGGAAGTCTGTTGGTAATGTCAACAATAGGAAATGTGCTGCAGTCTAGACTGGAAAATTAAATCTACTGTGGAAGAAGGCAATAGCAACCTCCTGTGTTGATGTCAAGAGAACTACATATATGTGTATGAAATCACTCAGAACGGAGCTTGATTCAAAGGAGAGTTTACCTTTCATTCTATCTTTTGGAGAATTAGGTACCTTAGCTTTGCTTATTACCCTGAATTTATGTCTAATTGATAACTGTACTATGCATTCAAGTATCAAATAGAAAACATCTTGGGGGTGAGAAAATTGTTTGCCTATTGAAATAATTGCTGTATCTCAAGCAGACTTGCTTTCTCTATATTTTTCCCTAACAGTGAAAGAAGGCGAAGAACTAACAAGTCCCTGCTTATCACTAAATTATCAAGGTGAATGGGAACATGCAAAGATACTGTACAAAATTAAAGGGCAGAAACCAGGTACCTGATCACTTCTTTATTTTTGCAAAGGTACTTGACTTTTGCAAATGGGTCTTTTGAATAGAAATTGTAACTACAACTGTACACATTCTTCCTCTAAATAGAGGAGTGCATATATAATATTCTGCTCACATGCACCAGTTTTACCAATTTTTTGCGGTCACACTCATGAGTAAGAATGGTGTTTGAAAACAATCACAGCAGAAGGCTGACTCATAAACCTGTTAAGATGACATGTCAGCTTTTTAATATTGTTTGATCCCCAAGTGATTTGTGATAGAATGCAGAGATACAAAAGGGAGAGTTTTATTGTGCTGGTCTAACAATGTTTGAAAGTAAGAACAATTATAGAGTTTTTCCCTATCTTCTCCTTTCCAAATATGGTCCCAGCAATCAGGCATTTTTCCGAAATACTTCATTTTTAGGATTGAGTGCAAGAGTAAGTATAGTGGAAGCATTTTATTTCTTCTAGAGAGCTCATAATTACAGTTAAAACATTTCTTTCTAGGCAGCTCAGAACAAAGTTCACTGATGTAACAAAGGACAAGTATAAACCAGAGCCACAAAACTCAACAGATTTCAAAAAATGTAAAAATATAAAATGTGCCATAATTACTGAAGGTCTATATTAAAAAGAGAAGTCTCCATTAATTCACAGAACCTCTCTTGGAATGGTGCTTCAGAGCCTAACTGTTCCACTAGTGCTTAAACAATTACATACTATTTCCACATGCCATTCTCCTCCTTATACAATGTTGTAATTTCCTACATAATGTCCTGCATCTTTGCTTATTTCTTACTTGATGCTAATTAATAACTATTTGCTAAAGATATTGAAAAGTAATAAATCTCAATATATGAATTCCATTGTAGTCTTTTTTCCTTTTTCTTTTAGGAAGGCCACTTTTTGAATCATGTCATAATGAAATATTAAAAGTGCTAAACAAGAAAATTCATGAGACAGCCAGAATAAAGGACTTGGATTTCTATGCTTTTTCCTACTATTATGAGTTGGCAGTAGATGCTGGTTTAATAGGTAATTTAGCAATAAAGCAGTAAAGACAGTGTGAATCTCATATTAGAAAGTTGGATTTAGTTCACCAAATGCAATAACAAGTTCTACAGGGCATTGATTCTAATTAGCCAAAGCAACTTGTTTCTTCTCTCTGCCTTCAGAGATTCTTCTCCTATGTGCTGGACAGAGCTTAAATATCAGTAATTTTAACTAACCCCAAATCCTTATTTACTTGTAAAATATTGATGAGATTAAAGTGATATTCTAAAGCAACAATAGGCAGCATGTCAAATTGATCAGGCAATAAATGGTATTGCCTACCAGATTATTAGGAAATTCCCAAGTGTCTACCAGAATTCCTCCATGTGTATCTGGGACAGTCTGTTGTTATACATCTTCAGTAGAAAATAATATATATGTAATGAGTCCGTTTGCTTTGGATAGCAGTTTGTTTCATCTGAAATAGGAAATGAGTTCACCACGGCAGAACATCAGATATAGTTTTTTCCATATCCAGATCATCCCACAACTGGTCCAAAGGATGACCAATGAATACAGTAAGTCAAACACCACTTAGGACAGGCCCATGGAAGAAGCCATGAATTCTTGAGCCTTTCTGGACCCAAAAGACTACACAGAGATTATGGTTACAGGTTGAAGCCTACAGTATTGAAAGGCATCATGGCTTACAAGGAAGGTGTAAAAAAGGAAGGGAGAGAGAGAAAATTTGTCAGAGAAAATTCAGAAACTAGATTTTGAGGGTTCTAAAAACTTTGTGTGTATTTGATATTCATAAAGCCAAAGATAAACTAAAGATAATTGGTGTTACGAAATCCCCCACAATTGCCATATTATGAAGATGTAAAAACGGTGCTAAGGTCATCAGCCTACAGAACTACAAGCAGATAAGTATATCTTTCTAAGCTGGTGATAAGTGGCTGTGGTGCTTTCACATATGTCATGGCATAGCCTACAAATGAATCTTTGGTAAGGCCTCGAGTGCATCAGTAGATGAAAGAAAGCCATTAAAAATAAACTTGAATGAACTAATAGGGGATTATTTTAGAGGAACTAATAAACTCATAGAAGAAAGCATGATGTTGCTCCAGTTTTACAATGCAAATAAGACTGGCATTCAATTTGCTCACATTGCTGTCAGTTTATTCTGGCACTCATTCCCAAAAGTACTCAGGCTTTTCACATGACAAATTCTTGAAGGAAAGATCTGCAAGGATAGTATCTCCGCATTAGTTTGCCCAAATGCAAGGTTATCATAATAGAAAAGTCACCTATTCTAGATTATATGGAGCGAGGTGGCTCACGTAGTTAGGATGCTGGGTTGACAATTTGCAAACCCGTGTTCAAAGCCCAAGTGCTGTTGTGTGATTGGGTGAGCTCCCGTTATTTGCACCAGCTCCTGCCAACTTAGCAGTTTGAAACCTATACAAGTAGATAAACAGGTACCACTTTGGTGAGCTCATTAGCAAGGACTCATTAGCAAGGAGCCAACAACTGGGCATCCACCGGGCAATGGTGATGCACTGCTAATCCTTTCATCAAGGAAGTGCTTTGGTGCTTCCAGCACGGAAGTATAGTATCCTAAATTATTGAAATTACATTATGTATCAGTTGCTAGTTATTATTTATAACGCACGTTTTACTTTTTCAAGACTTCTTTTAATCATTTCCTGTTAGAAGTCAGATGTTATCAAAAACAGGTGCTGAAAATATTGTCAGTGAATGAATGCTTTCTTAACTTTGGGCAGTCTTAGAACAATTTTATCAATTTTTAACAAGTTAGAACAATTAATCAGCAGAACAACTTGCCTCTAGAAGTTGTAAATGCTCCAACACCAAAAGTCTTTAAGAAGAGATTGGATAACATTTGTCTGAAGTGGTCTAATCCCCTAAGCAGGGGGTTGGACTAGAAGACCTCCAAGGTCCCTTCCAACTCTGTTATTCTAATTCTAATAGCAAAGACTTCTAGTCCATCCATCTGGGAGGGTATTGTGCAAGAATGATGACAAATAAGCATCTCTCTCAGGCCAAGCTTAAGAATTCTATGAACATAATATATATTGATCAGCAAAGAGTTTGATCAGCTACCCTATGATACTCTGAGAAGCAAGCCAGTTGAATATAGATAAGCATTCTCTACATCTACCTCAGCAGAGAGGTAGGTGTAGTGAATGCTTATCTTCAATACAATACAAAACTGATTGGAATAACTAATAATCTAGATATAAATTAAATAAATATATAAAATCTAAAGGTCATCTAAGCCTTTAATACATTTAAATCTTTCTAGAGCCAACAGTAATTATCTTTTTGCTGTATATTCCACAAAGTACAAATCTTTAACTCATAGTTAAACTTTTTTTAAAAAATAGTTAAAGGAGACATACTATAGTAAATCTTGCCAATTTATAACTTCTCAATCTTTAAAAACAGCAAAAAAATTAAACCCAGAATGATTAAGAGATGAACCTAGAGTCGAACTTAAAGTCCATATAGGCAACATTAGCAACTACAAGCATAATGGAATTTCATGATGCCTAGCTGATGACAAGCCAACCACAAAAATGCAGGTCCTGCCATCTGCTTGCCAAACCCCCCCCCCCACTCCTGTACAGAATACATGTGGGTAATCTTGGGGTCTCAGATTTCAGCAGCCCAAATCCTGCATTCAGGTACAATTTCAGCTGTGATATGTTCTGCTTTTCTACAGGAATATCAGTTTCTTATAATGGCTCACCGGAAACTTCCCACATTTATGCTTATTTTTTAATGTGCTATTTGCATTGTTATTTTATTTATTAGTTTAGTGCAATAATTTGTGAAAACCTCTCAGAACATAGAAATCTTAAGTACAATTGAATGTCTATTCATTTCTGTAATTCTATGAATATTGAAGGGTATTTTTCCCTGTTAAAGATTGAAAATAAGACACATTCTTATTTTAATAAGCACTAAACCTAAAGATCTGTGCTTGAAATGCACACAATACTGTCTGCTTAACCATTTATTAATCAATTAGAGTAGCAGCTGTTTTGCCAATACTGCACTCCTTTTCTGTTCTAGAACTGCAGAACTGTTTTTCCCCCTCTCTTCCTTTAGATAAAAAAAAGGGAGGAATCCTACCAGTCAGCAAGTTTGAAAGTGCAGCAAAGAAAGGTAAGTACTGTTGCTTGTATGCTTACCTCAAGATCTAAGGAAACTTTATAAAATACAATCCAACAAAGGTTCTTTAGTATCCAGAGGAAAGTGTTTATATGGGAATAGTTCTAGCTACAGCCTGCTTTTACATTTTGATTTTTTTAATTACCCAGTGTGTAAAACAATGGAGATTCAGCAAGGAAATCATCCTTTCTTATGCATGGATCTTAGTTACATCAGTTTGCTGCTGAAAGAACTGGGCTTTCCAAAGAATCACATTCTTAAGGTAATAACTTTTAATGTCAATATTTAGAGTAGAATTCTAATATCAATATTGAAAGTACTAAGATTAGAGGAAAGGGATATCCAAAATTTTGTTTCACAAACATCTATCAAAAATAAATAGTTTGTTTAAAAAATAATAAAGTTTCAACTCTGGAAATATTTATTCTTTCAGAATTTTGAGATAACATTTTGAGTTAGAGAAAGATTTTGAAAAAGCAGTAGTAGACATTGGGGAAGAAACAGACTAAAGTACCTTAAAGAGGCACAGGAAGAGAGAAACTACCCCAGACATTGCATCCCACCCTGAATCATGTACAATGGTCTTAAATGTGCAAAATAAAATTTCTGATTTTAAAGTGTACAAAATTTATTTGCTCCATTTCATAAACCTTCATCAGGCATTACCTGCACAATTTTAGATTCTAGGGTTTTAGGAGCTGTGCTGGCGCAGTGGTTAGGCAGTTGAAGACTAACTGCCCACAGCCAGGAGTTTGATCCTGACTGGCTCAAGGTTGACTCAGCCTTCTATCCTTCCGAGGTTGGTAAAATGAGGACCTAGAGCAATATGCTGACATTGTAAACTGCTCAGAGAGCAGTGCTGTAAAGCACTATGGAATAGTATATAAGTCTAAGTGCTATTGCTATTGCTATTTTATAAGTTTCAAATTCTACAGCCAAGATATATTATTTCCTCTTATAAAATTTAGGAACTCATGGATTCCAAATGCTATTTAGTAAAACTAAGGCAACACGTAAATTGGGTATGTGTGTACTACATGGAAGGCTATTATGCATTGCAGTCTCTTGAAATATATAGATCACAATGTTTTAAGCAGCCCACAGAAACATCTCTATTTCCAAAACTTTAAATCATGTTTTCTTTTCATTATAGCTGACCCAGAAGATCAACAACATTGAAACCAGTTGGGCTTTAGGAGCAATTCTTCACTACATGGATTCACTTCACATGCTATAATATTAGGGATTTACTGCCTGGGGAAAATGAGTCTAGGAAATTGGATCTGATTGGTTCCTTTGAAAAAGGGCTATAAGTAAAATATATATTTTTAAAAGTTTTAAATCTTTCAATAAGGGAAGCTGATGCTTAAGGTGGTAGCTTAAGGTGCTCAGTATTGTCCTGGGATCACAAATACTTTTAGTATCACACAAAATCAGTAACACTCATTTTGAAAAAAATAATCCATGACCGCTAAAAGCAGCAGCTTATCAGAAATCAAACCAAATTATTGTAACAAATATCCTTTCATTTTTAACGAACATTTGCTGATGATCTCTGATTTATTTGATGTTCTTTATAAGAAAAGCACTTAATCTTTAGGCAGACATTTTGCCATTTTTTGATGCAAGCATATAAAAGCTAACATCAGAAGCAAGCAACTTTTTAACTACCTTTGAATGTTAGACTGTAAATTCAGATTTTAAAATATGTGAAAATTTGGGGTATTTCCTTAAAAACTTTGTTATGCTTTGTAAAACACTTACTGACACATATTTAGATTACCTTCTGAAACCCAGTTTTTAATCCTTCAGAGTCTTTGGAGTACTGGTTTATTTTGGAAGAGATGAGCTGGGCAAGATGGTTGTTCCCACACAGAATTCCATTGATGTTTTCCCCTTGATTTTGACTGCCTTAATTTTTTTCTGGTGTGTATTCCATCCTGTAACGGCCTTTTTCACTTTTAAATGGCACAATGTTTTTTGTTCCTGCTGTCAGGCAAAAGATTAGATAATGTTATCTTGCTCTAACTCACTACATGCAGTCCTTGTTTAGCAACCACAATTGATTCCAGTGAAATAGTTACTAAGTGATACAAACATTAAACAAACCACACGGCTGAGAGGCCTCACAAAGATCACTGGTTGTTGCCATTTTGATAAAGTTCTCTCATAGTAACACAAGCATTAGTCTCATTTTGATGTATATTATGGTCAAGTGCAGAAGTGGAAAATGTTTTTACTGCTATTTATTACTATTGTATTTGTGAACAGTCACTATCTGAAGCAGTTGCTAAATGAGGACTATCTAAAACTGATGAAAGAATCTTTTCATATGGGTCATAGCAATAGCTGAATGAGTTTTTTGACATAGGCTAACATCAGGGAGTATTGGATCATGCTAGTTTGGTCTACCATTGTCCAATACTAGACCATAGTATGTTTTTTGGAATGTATTAATCAGTTATAAAATACTTGTAGAAGACGTTTTTGATTGTATAAATTTGTATGAAAGCCAGAAGACTCCCTACTGCAACATTTATGCCTATATCTGAGAGATAATCTGGAAATTCAGGAAAAATGCTTGAATGTTCTAGTAATCATTATGTGAATTTGTTTAATTTTGGTTTAAATATTAGATTATGTTTAAAATAATATGAATGTTCCAAATTTTGTATATTTCAATTCAGTAAACAGTTTGTATATTTAAGGTTCCTTTAGCTATTAAGTAAACTTCAAATAATTTTTTAAAAGTATTACTTCACAGTCTTCTTTTAAACAAGTAAATTTATTGTTGCACTAAACAAAGATTGGGGAACTATATGAAGGTTATGAGTTGAATTTCAGCAGTATTAAGGCTGTTTCCACCCAAGGACTGTTCAAAAGCATTTTCTACATCCCAAAATGTGCTAGGTTTGAAGGCTGAGCTTAGTTTATCATTGGGTAGGTTGCAATGTACTTGAAACTGCAGTAAAACAAATGTTTTATTTGATACAATGCAACTCTGTGGTGATCCTTTTTTATCATCTGCAGAAACTTTTGTGTCATCCTACCTTTGGTTCCAAGACATCAGCAATCACAGCAGAATTTCTAAGGCAAAAGCTGACTGGATGCCTTTGAAGTTTATAAGAACCATCCATCCGTTTGTTTGTTTGTTTGTTTGTTTGTTTATTATTTAGCACTATTTCTGTGCTACCCCTAAGCACCTAAATGTCTCCTAAATGTCGATAGGGAGAGGCTATATTTATACGGGCAGCCGATTATTTCAAAGGTTGGAAAAGCAATAGAAAAGGGGCATTTCCCGTCTCTGCCTCTTTAGGTAGGTAAAGTTACTAGGACCCAAGCCATAAAGCACTCCAAACTGCTTTTGTGATACCAGGAAGAGGAAACAATGACAGTATGGAAATCTATGTTTTCATAGAAACTGTGCCAGTCTTGTAAACACATTAGACACTGCAGGGATTGTTAGAACTGCAGCATGAAAGAAAGAAGCAACTTTTACCTCTGCTGCTAGAGTCGTAGTGACAATAAATAACTATGGAGAAAAACATCAATTGATATCACCCAAGGCCTTTCTCTTACTGATAGCAGGGACAATGAATTGAAATAGCAAGCCAGAAAGCAATGATTCCTGCCCTCCCTAGCTAATGTGGTCCTGATTTTTAAAGATGCATTTGATTATTTTGTTGTCTAAAACTGAAATGGTTCACAGTAACACTTGCAATAAAGCAAACATGGTGGTAGACACAGCATAGTAGCCCATTGTCAATGGTGGGTTGCTACCTGTTCGCCCCAGATCAGGTGAACTGGTAGTGGTGGCAGTGGGAGGCTTCGCCCACCCACCAACGCCTCTGCGCATGTGCAGAAGTGTCACATGCACAAGCACGAGCGAACCGGTAGCAATGGGTTTTGAAACCCGTCCCTGCCCATTGTGGAAGTGAAAAGTTACAGATTATCCAAATATATTATTATATTTGATTCATACATAATTTAACAGAGCACTTAAATTCTGGCATTAAGGAAGTTGGTCTACCGGCCAGTCTAGTTGATAGAAAAGTCGAAAGGTATTTGTCATTAATTGCTGTTTCTCTTTGACATTTTCTATATATAAAAATAGGCATTTGTACATGTCCATATAGATATGAATTAAGTTGATATGCTGATATTTGGTTAATCTTTTCTTTGCCTGCATTAAAGAAAGAAATGAACCAGCTCTGTCCCTTGCCATAGGTTTGATTCATATCATCTGTCATTGCACTTCTTGCTACTTCATTGTGATATTTTTCCATTGATTGTGCAATCTTAATTTGTTTATTTTTATCTTTTCATTCTCTGCTGACTTTTCATTCCATAATTCAGATTAAAGCATTCCAATAATTGAAGACTGTGTAATCTTATGATGTCAGCATTTGGAAAATAGGATACCAGAATAGCCTGGGTATTAAAAACTAGCTTTTTGGTTATATTTGCAACAATGCTGATAGGCAAAAATGTCACTCTCCTGCAGTTTGAAGTAGACATTATAATATGTATAATTTATTCAATTTTTGCTAAACTCCCCGTTACATCTGATACAATTGAAACTGTTGACTAATGCAGTGAACAGTCCCAATTATAACCAATTGGTAAATTATATGGATTCCCACTGAATCCAAAAGACCTTCAAATAAAGAGGTTTAGATGGAAGCAAGCTATAAAACTGCCTTTGCTTGCCTTTTAAACAATGTTGAGCACTGATGAAATTCCCCAGGGTAATAAAAAGACTAATGTTCTATTAATTATTCAAAGGAAGTAAATAGGATGACTAAGACAGTGGTTAAGATAAATCAAATACTGAACTGGAAAAGAATGTATGTCCTTGAAAAATAAGCTAATAGAGTTTAGTGAGACCTGCAGAATGTCATTTTGGTTTGATTCCAGACACAGTTTGGAAACAATTTACAGCTGTGTACTAAGAATAAGGTCCTAAAATCAAATAGAACAAAGGATTTCATTGTATTAAAAAATTAATTAGCTTATAAGATGTGACCTAGTCTGGTACAGTATTCTCAGTACTTACTGTTACATGACCAGGTAGAAATTGTTTTCTGCTTGACAAGTAAAAATTTAAAGAGAGATTCTAGCTTAACTACTCTGTATCGTTTTGTGCCACCTTTGTATTTACCTCCACATGAAATACATAAAACTTCATTTGGTCTGGATTTTGGATTTTTGTAATGAATTAAAAAGGATCACCTTGTAAGAGGTATTTAGGATTATTTTTCAGATTATAAAGATTTAGGGTCTAGAGTTTCATTGCACCAGTTTAATGGAAATCCTTGTCTATATGAAAAGAGAACACCTACCTGTACATGTATTCCTAAAACAACATTTGCTACAGTGAGGGCATACTAAGGCTCCAAAAAAAAAATCTGATACCTCTGGAAAAATTCAGCTGCAAATTAGATAAAGAAGAAATTTGACATCTAAATTTATTACTAAAGCTTCTTCGTTTTTTAAATCTTAGTAAATTGAATTAACTCTGGACATCCCAGCAATTGATGTAATAACTATGTGTTAATGCTGTCTTCTGTCACTTGACAGAAAATAAAGATGATTGGGTTATTCCACTCTGCCTATATTCTCACATGAGCAAAATGTGAAACCCAGGCCAAGGTTCTTATTTGGCTTGGAGTGGTATAAAAGATCTACATTTCCCAAATGAAATTTATTTTAATGGGATTGTGTGTGTGTGTGTTTGTGTATGATACACACACATACTATTAAATATAATAAATTTGTACTCTGTAACATTGAACATTACAATTTGAAGGTGATTTTTAGACACTATAGAGTACACCAAGGCTTGGAGAAGTATGCAGGGCATTGGGGCCTCAGATTCTTCACATGCTGTAGCCTTATGAATATTGAAAGAAGTTTAAATGAGCTTATATTTTAAAAAGTATGGCTAAGACTGCACCATATTTAAGCCTTTGCTCTGGCAAGGTGTCATGCCCTTCCCTCATGGATGCTAGAGAGTAGATATTAAAAAAAAAACTTGTCAGAATGATTGTCATTGTAGAGTTGGGAAGATACCCTGTTTCTCCCAAAATAAGACATCCCCTGATAATAAACCCAATGAGGCTTTTGAGTGCATGGCAATAAGGCCAAGAGCTTATTTCAGGGTTCAAAAAAATATAAGACAGGGTTTTATTTTCAGGGAAACACGGTAGAAACAAGTGACTAGGCACTACTGGTTTGCCGATATTAATAGCTATCTATGCAGCACATATATTAATACCCTTGCTGGTAGATTTTCCAGGTTGCTTCAGGCATTTCAGAAACCACATCTATTGTCCTAAACCTAAACAATACAATGTGGCAATATTTTGAAGCAGTATATAAAAATCTGGTGCCTTTAACAAGTTAGCAATATACATTACTTTCATTTTTTATTTCATTTGCTTATGTGTTTGCTTCCTTCTGCCTTCAGCAACTGCTTCTATACCTACTTGTTTTGTATATTTTTTATATATTCCTTTTATATATATGTGTGTGTGTGTGTGTGTCTTTTTCTTTTTCGTAGGCTTTTATGTGCATATTCTTTCTAGCCAGGTTTTACCTACGTAGCTTACGTAGCTTACGTAGGTAAAACCTGGCTAGAAATATATATATATATAATAATTTGAAGCATACTTTAATCTTAATTTGATTTAAGTCTTGATTGCATATGATGAATCTTAAATCATTTCTTGCCTTTCATATTATAGTTTTATACTTCTATACCTTTTACAATATATTTTGTATTGTTTTATGCTGGTTTTTGGCCATAGTAATTTTGTCTGTCTGACCTGTTCCACTTAACAATTCACCATAGCACATGTCTACTTTATTCCAATGCAGTTTTGGTTTCCATGTCCATTAGCTTCTTTGAGAAAGTTAGAAGTTGGGGAAAATGGAGAGGAATCTATTCTGATAATCAACTAACCTTTGTAGCTCCTGGTAAGGCAAATCACTAAATTTATTTCTGAAATGCTTATTGCTGTGACAATAGAACTTTTTTTTAAAGGGTTTTAAAAAGACAAGGGTTTTCCTAATTTCATCTGTATAAGTTAGAACAAGGACGTACACTCCCCCCAAATCCTGGAAATGGGTAATCATTTTTGTTCACTAATATTCTGAATATATTATATGCCAATTACACAAAATGTCCAGGATAGCTTGGGAAAGGTTTCCTTAGGGCAGAGGGCAAATACCAAGCCTCTGTTTATTCATTTGTAAACACTCCCCCCCCTCCGCTTATACAGACAAGTCTACACCCCTTCCATCATGATATGTGCTCCTGAGGCAGGGGTGATGCAGAGTGAAGCCAAATGGTTCCTGATTCTAGGAAAACCAAATAATTCTGCTGCTTTTCCTCTGAATTTGGGGGCAGGTAGTTTCCTACTGGTACCAGAATATCTCTGGAATATGAGCAAGTTTGGGAAGTTGATAACAGTATACAGATACCACAGGTTTGGGAGCTTCTGGATGCTTTCATTGATTAACTTGTTTGTGTGCCACCCAAAGTCATACATAGAGTAAGTGATCTATAAATTGAATTAATAAACGTTTCCAGACATGTCAGATAACTAAACTGAATCACATGATACCCTAAAGGCACATTGGCACGAACCACATCCGCTTTAAATGATAATCCACGTGCTGACACCTTAATAAATTAGAAATGGTGGGTAATCTGTCACATGAGAGAGCATCAGACTGCTCGATGGACGAACCTTGTATTCTGTATCAGAGCAGTGAGCATAGAGGATAGAGAAGATTCATCAGAGGCTGCTCCGGTCATTTCTTTCAGCGGATTTAATGCAACTGGTAACTGAAGATGATGTGACATCAAGTCGTTTTTGATTCCTAACAACCACCCGGATAGATCCCTTCCACACTTGTTCTTTCAGGTCTCCCAGCAGGGCATTCATAGCCTCTGTAACCTCCGTATAAGTCTCATAAGCGATAACTATTTAGCTACTTGTCCAGTGGTGGGTTTCCAATTTTTTTACTACCGGTTCTGTGGGTGTGGCTTAGTGGGCGTGGCATGGCTTGGTGGGCGTGGCAGGGGAAGGATACTGCAAAATCCCCATTCCCTCCCAATCAGCTGGGACTTGGGAGGCAGAGAATAGATGGGGGCAGGGCCAGTCAGAGGTGGTATTTACTGGTACTCTGAACTATTCGAAATTTCCACTACCGGTTCTCCAGAACTGGTCAGAACCTGCTGCAACCCACCTCTGTACTTGTCCCAAATGTGTTTTTTTTTTTTTCAAGAGGCAACTGGACTTTCTGATTTTTCTTTGAAAACGTTTCGCTTCTCATCTAAGAAGCTTCTTCAATTCTGACTGAATATTAGATATTTATTTTCCGTTCCCGCACAGAGCTTAACGTTCCTTTTCAGCCGGTTTAAGGCTTAGTGTGCTAGGCGAGACACACCGCAGAACCAAATCCCCGCGAAGTTCAGCCACCCACCGATCTCCAGCCACGTTGCCGTAAACAGAGCGCTACCGCGCTTCAGGTTGGTCTTCGGAGCGCGCATGTGCAGACGGTGCATCGCTTGAGTTGCGCTTTGCACAGGCAGGAGGGCGCGCCGTCCGTTCGGTTGGGCGCCCAAGTGATGCCTTTAATCTGCGGGTGATCCGCTTCGCACTTCCGCTGCCCCAGTTCTGCCCGCTGCTGCTCTGCGCCTCAACCCAGCATCGCCGGAAAATCTCCCGGGACGATCCAGCGCAGAGAAGAAAAGGAGAAAAAAGCGGGAAGCGATAGAACCGCCGCCGCCGCCTGGTCTTGTTTTGAAAGTTGCTCGGGCTGCCTCGTCCCACAGCGCAGGCGCTGCCGCAGCGAGGCCGGGCCGGGCCGGGCTTTGCCAGAGCCGCCAGCAGGAGGAGGATCGGGGCTGCAGCTCTTTGCTCTCATCCCACCCCCACCCTCACCTCTGATGAACCTCGCATCCAGCTAGCCGTGCAAGCGACTGCAGCCGGAGGAAGCGAGGGAGGGGAATTCATCCGAAACAGCAGCTTGCTCCGACGCCTGGGCCGCTCCAGACAGACGACCTTCCTGCTGGGGCCGACGCTTAATTAGCCGGGATGGCCGTTCCGCTTAGCGACAGCGAAAAAAGGAAACAGATCAGCGTGCGGGGCATCGCCGGGCTGGGCGATGTGGCGGAGATTAGGAAGAGCTTCAATCGGCACCTCCACTTCACTCTGGTGAAAGATCGGAATGTGGCCACCCCGCGGGATTATTTCTTCGCCTTGGCGCACACTGTGCGCGATCACTTGGTGGGACGGTGGATCCGCACCCAGCAATATTATTACGAGAAGGACCCCAAGGTAAAAAGATGCGGACCTGGCACTCCGAGCGCGCATGCATTCCCCCCCCCTTCCCCAGTTATTCCCAGATTCACATAGGCAGGTACCGAATGTGGAAATTTCCCCTCTGCTGGAGAACGTGTGTGGGTGTCTTTGCAGTGAAATTGTGCATCAAAGAGCAATTAGATCATGGCTGGAAAGGATCCTCTCAGCAGACAACGAGTTGGGAGGGTGGGGGATTTGTCAAAGACAAGGAGAAGCTGCATTCACATTGAATTCAGCCTTCCTTAGTTTGGACCCCTTCTGGCTTGTTTCCACCAGCTATTTTGAAGATGGGTTTGACATCCAACACATCTAGAGGGTACCAGGCTTGGAAAGGCCAAGAGAAGTATATTAGGCTTTAATGAACCAATAAACTTTATTGGTTGCTGCAAAATATATTTTTAAAGCCCTCTTTTTCTCACCCCTGTATTCGGTGATCTCTCTGCAGTCATAAACCTTTTTCCACTTGCACTTAACCATGGCAGGAACATTCCCCGATAACAGCTTTTTCTGTCTTTTCCCCATGACACTCCCTTCCTCTTTTGCACTGTCTGTAATGAGACAAGGTCATTAGCTCCTTACAGCATCTTCTAGAGTCATCCAGCCATTGTTCCGCTAAAATCACAGCAATACAGGCCAAGTTTAATATCATTTCAATCATTACAGAATGATGCGTATGTTGAAATAGTTTTGGTCATCCTTAAACAGTGGTGTTAAAGTAGCGTTTTCTCCTTTATCACAGTACCCTCTAAATCATGTAGCCAAAATGGAGGCAAGGTTGGGATTGGCAACAGGGACTGCAAATTTCATATCAGGGTGTCAAAAACAGTTGGTACATATCAGTAACGATATTCTGTCTGTTTAAGAAAGGATAGAAAACAGTTCAACCCAACAGCAACTAATATGGTTTTGTTGTAATTTATAAAGAGGGTTTATTAGAAGATCTCTGTACTAAAAATAGGAATAAAATCCAAGAAGTTGGTTTGGAGAGACGGCTGCCCCAGGCTCACCAACAAATAGCTATAATTCAGTGTTTTTAAGAAATGTAATTTCAGCACCCAAACAGGAAAAAATCCCAAAAGTATTTCTCCCCCGAATAATAAAAATAAAAAACCCTGTATCAACCATTAGCACCAGTCAATGGTATTTATGATACATTTTTAAATGTTCAGTTGACTGAGTTTCATGTTTAATGAATAAAAGAATAATAATAAATTTAATAGCTACCACTAGAGGAGAGATGCTGTAAACCAGCTTTTCAAAATCTGTACCTTAGAAATCTGTTGATCTAATGACATGTTGGTGGCTGTGTAAGTTATGCTGCTTTGGGAAATCTAGTGATCATTGGAATTTTGTTCTGTGTAGGTCTGGTTGACCAAGAAATACTTAATTCATAAAATGCAAATGTTTTTAAATGTTTTTAAATGTAAAGTACATGTCTAAACAATATCTTGAAGTTTCTGAAAGCGTTTTGAGAGGAATATAAAAGAAAAGCCATAGCCTAAAATTATTTAATTACCCAATGGTTCAAACTCTCAGTTGAAAAAAAAAATCATTTGAAGAGTATGGAAGCTGTTTAGTGCAATTAGAACCGTTGAACAGCCACAAGGAAATTATAGCGCTCCCACATTAAGTATTCTGAGTTATGACATTTACTAACTTAGGGCATAAACAAATTGCTAGCCACTGATTTCCTTTTTCAGATATCATCTCATCTTCATTTATTCCAAACCATCTGTTTCAACAGCTATCATCACAATTGTGGGTAATCAAGGAATTATTTATGTTAAACATGCTAGGCCAAGAGCTTAATTAGCTAATTCTAAGTTCCAGTGATTTGTAAGAATAATTTCTCACAGTTCACTTTTCTCATATCATAGCCTTGTCTGTTCTTTGTCAGTGCTGCTTAAATGTATAAATAATAGTGAAATTACAATTCACCACTTTTTTATTTTATTTATTTAAATTATTTATATGACCACTCACAGTAGTAATTCTGGTCAGTACAAGATTAAATCACAGTGGCTGCTTGATAGGATCACAATAAATCTACAGCAGGGATGTCAAACTCAGTTTCATTGAGGGCCGCATCAGGGTTGTGTTTGACGTCGGGGAGTGGGAGGGCCGTGGCCATGTGTGTGTGGTTAGCTCGATGTCACTCATTGAGGCTCCGTTTTCGGCCATCATGGCCTACCCGGGCTCCATTTTTGGCCGCAACAGCCTCCTGCAGCCCTTTGCCATCGAAAATGGAGCTCCGTTTTTGCAGGCAGAGGCACCGCAGGCTGATCCTTTGCTTTTTCCAGGATGGGCCCGGCCAGATCTAAGCACCCTGTGGGCCGGACACAGCCCGCCGGCCTTGAGTTTGACACCCCTGATCTGCAAGAACCACACAAGGGGTAGAATGGGACAGAAGGTAAAACTTTAACTTTCAGTTAGGTATATTCCTGGCAGTGTTGGGCAATAGAGATATTAAAGTGGCAAATTTCTCACAGGAAACTGAGAAAGGTGATATTTATATTTCCATAGTATCTAGTATTCCATAGTATCATTGAATCTACATTAATTTAGATTCATTTTGATTCTAGTTTAGTCTACCTTTTTATAACATAAACTCTATTTCTTAATCCTTAATTTTTCACTTAGCAGTTTTTCTGTCCTTGAAGCATGTACTTCTTTATTTGTGGTTCTGAATTATTAAGGTTACTGAACTTTGAATGTTTACAAGGAGTTCTTTTGTTTCCGTGTTCATATATTGTGTCTTGATTAAATCTGTTTATAATATCATTGTTAGCTTATTTATATAGAGAGACTTCTAACACCAGTAAGAAAGATAGGAAACATATTTTTAGGTTTGTTTGTTTTATTTGTTTGTTTGTTTGTTTGTTTGTTTATTAAATTTATATTGCCACCTATTCGCCCATGGCGACTCAGGGTGGCTTACAGAATATAAAAATCACATTTAAAAACAGTAAAACTAAGAAAAAATCAAATAAATTACTGTAATAAAATCACCCCCTGCCCCAGCAACAGCCAATCACATGAGCCATTTAATGGGCTCCATCCCACTCTGGGTTCCCCAGGCCCGCTGGCAGAACCAGGCCTTCAGTGCCTTCCGGAAGAGAATTAGAGTGGGGACCGTTCTAATCTCTGGGAGAATGATGTTCCAGAGAGAGGGAGCCACCACCGAAAAGGCCCTTCTTCTGGGTCCCACCAGGTGTATCTCCCTTGGGGATGGGACCCACAGCATTTTGATATTCATGGCATTGAAAATAACATTTTTACAACATACAGAATGGAATTATTACATTAGCAGAACCTTAGCCAATGTGGATGTTTCCAGAAGTCTTGGATTATGGTTCCGTCACACCTTTGACATTAGCCCTGCTGGATGTGGTATATATATTATGAAAGCAAAAAAAATTAAAGAAGTCTGTATTAGTCATTCAATTAGAATGACTGATGTCCATGATATGTCAGGGACACAACTTTGTGCTGCAGAATTCATATTGTACAAATTCAACAAAGGGAAGAGAAAAATAGCAAGGGAAAAATATATATGGATACAGTTTAATATGAGTTTCTTGTTTAATATGACTTTCCTGATTGGAAATTAAATATATTAAACTGCAGATTCATTACAATGGTGGATTTCAAAGAAGGGTAATTCATTTCTGACTCAGGGACAATTCCAGGAGTAGTCAGAATTGGAAAGATCTTTAAAAATCACTATAATAATAAACAAGAAATAATCTCCAATGGAAGACCCAGAGAAGAACAACGAAGAGTGAAGAATGAATGCTGAAATGGACAAAGAAATATGAAATAAATTGAAACTCTGAACTTTATATCATTTCTGAGTTGATGGAACCACAATGTTTCAGGTCTCTGATCAATTACTAATTCTTTCAACTCCTGTAGTCAACTTAGCTAGAGTGTAAAGGTCAACAGAAACATTGGCTTTGCTCAATGACTCAGTCCCATGTCAGTTAAGATATAAGCAAAGGACTTCAGTTCTTCCTCCCCCCACTGTGCAAAGGAAGAGAACCTTTGGCAGTGTCCTCTAAACTCCTCAGCCAGAGGCAGCCAGTCCCTACTTTTGTGCTTGTGAGTGTCGTTAAGGCAGCGGCCCTATTAAAGCCTCTCTTTGCTCTTCGCATTGCAAAATGTGAATAGGCCTTTACCCCTTTGCTTGCGATTCAGATGAGAGTGTAGATGCAATGCATCGTTGGGTATACTTCAAGTGTGTGGACCAAGGATTAGAGGTTATGCTGTGGTGCTTAATTATAGATACTCAGACCTTCTGTTGCTTAAACCTAATGTAGGTCAAGTTGGCATATGTTTTCATTTATAATGCAGATGTCACCTGATTGAATGGGAGAGAATACCAGGTAGAAAAGATCTTATTTTTAAGTCTTTTTGCTCTAGGCCAAAAATGCTCAGAGAATCATTAGAATGATAGAAACTTGTCAGTATACTTCATTGGGAGAGAAATGATGCTTGCTTTGATCCAGAATTGCTTTAAAGAAAGCTTAGGGTGATCAGCTGATAGGGAAGGGAAGAGAAGGGGTGGGTGGGAGGAAGGCAGGCAGGCAGGCACATTTCTGGGAGACAGGCATAATTAAATGAATAAAGAGATGGAAAGGGGATTGAATTCCGTTTTTTCCAAGAACACACACAAACGCAGAGCCTTCTTGAACACTTATTTACCTTAGATTTTTAACACAGCAAAATAAGGATTTACAATAAAGGGAGGGAGGGAGGGAAGGAAGGAAGGAAAGAAGGGAGAGAGAGAGAGAAAGAAAGAAAGAATCAATCAATCAATCAGGGTTAGGCTGCAAGTGATGATTTTTAAAGTGTTGATTTCAAAGTAAGCACTACAAATTTCCACTGGATTTGGCCCCAGTGAGCGTGGTAGAATATAACTAAATCTTTATATAATTTGATACTGCTAACATACCTAAAATCTACCTGTTGTGTAT